ACAAACCACACATAAATCCATTAGTCCATAAATCCATTAGTCCATAAGCCCTTGAGTACACTTCCCCGGCGAATCGCAAGCGCAAATGCCGTAGCTGCTTGGCTCAAACCCCTCACCAGGTATTGCGAGCCGGATACATGAAAGAGTCCGGATTGGACCTAACCCAAAGCGTGAGTGGTTTGCACGACATGAGCATCGGCCAACTCCAACCAGAGCCCCTGAATTGAGAGCTCCATAAGCCAAGTCCCCCAAGGACTTCTGTCTTTCACCAGCGGAGCAGGAGGTGGCAAGCATGGCAACAAGCAGAAGCACACGTGCTAGCGACACAAACCGCAGGCACATGGCGCAGGGTACGTCGCGGTCCTGCAGGCGATCATAGGCGACATCTGTCATTTCGCCGTATTGGTACTCGGCTCGATACACGCGACCACCGTTGTGTGCGTTTTGATTGTATGTCAACCAGCTGGGCGAGCTGTGCAGGCACATGCCGTTGAACCCGCCGCCCGAGTGCGAGTAATGGGCACCTGCCGGGCATTCCAAAGCACAGTACATGTTCCACATCCCCAGTGTTCACCAGCATCAGCATGAGACTAAGAGCCCAATCGAGGAACTATTGCCAAGACAGCGTCAAGAGCCCAAAGGGAGCTTCTCACCGGCCCAAGTGCCATAGTAGATGCGCGAGTCACCCGAAGCACAGCTCGTCGATCCCACCATGGGGTACACTATGAAGTAACAACACGTCGAAAAGAACCAGAGAAAATAGCCAGAGAAAACATCAACTCTGAAGTGAGCGCAGCCGCGCATGATGACCTGCCAACAGTGCACAACCTCACAAGGCATGCAGCAGCGACCGACCTGATCCGCTGCTGGTTGTTTTGGAGCACCGCACACACGTCATCTATGTCCATCGCCGGATGGGTGAACCAAATGAGACGCACATCTAGAAGCCTAAGCACACATCCAGCCTTGTCCCAACACTCAACACTCAACACTCGACACCACAACGGTCAGTACCTCGCGATAGCGTGTGTAAGATGACGGGTAGGTGTCGTGGTATTCGGTGAAATACAACAGACCACTACGCGCGTACAAATGTAAAGAGATGAGGTTCCAACAGGTATCTACAGAGAAAAGTGGAGATACAAAGCAACGCCCCTTTTCCTCCCACTTGCTATGAGCATGCTTCAGGTCACGCACCCATCATTGCTAGTCTTGGACCCATAGATGTCGGGTGTCTCATCAATGCAAATCCATGTTGTGCGGCGCATGTTGTACCGTGAGGCCATAATGTAGCCCCGATAGTCCTGGAAGGGTCAAGAGAGCGTGTATGCGGTTGTCGCGGCCGACAGCAAAGGGTCAGTCAACCTGACCATGCTTTTTTGTGAAAAAAAGGCCACACCAAACACCCACCTGCGTCCAACCACTGGGGCACGTGGTCCGGCCGTACTGCACCATCGACACGGTTCGCGTGTCCGGGGCTTGACACACGGAGCCTGCGCATGCGGGCGTGACGAGCAGAATGACACTCGATAAGTATCCAGCCGGTGCCGCCCACAACTTGTGAGGGTGTAAGTACGTGGCGAGAGCACCCACAGCGAGCCTCGTAATCATGGAGCGTATTGAAATGAGATGAGACGCTGGCATCTTTAGTTTGATACTCCACTTGGCGAATCTATCGTTTGCGCACAAGGTACGATCAGATGCGCGGAGCACAATCTGAACACGCTGGATGCAAGAATCAGATGCTTGCCTCGCCCATGCCACTGTTGGCGCTGTTATAACTCAACCAGCTGGGCGAGGACGTCATGCACAAGTAGTCCACTGTGCCTCCGGAATGTCTAGTTACATGACACCGAGACAACAGGGGAAGTGAGGCAGAGGAGTGTGGCTTGATGAAGCGCCACCATGCTGTTTGCACGTCAAATGGCATCGAGCTACTCACGAATAGTAGGTCCCAGCCATCGGACCGTAGTCCAAACGTGTGTGCCCACTCGGGCTATTCTCGCCAAACGCAAACACATGGTCAGATGATTATCTTTGTGAGCGAAATTTCTTGACTTGTTGTACGTACCAGCTGGTCCGACCCCAACGGCGGTAGATGGCACCGGCTTTTGGAGATCCACAAATAGCGCTGCAATCAGCACATTGAACACATGAGAGAAAGATGCCAAATCAACATGTAAGCCATCTGAGCATTGAGCTCAGCAAAATCGTGTCGACACGACAATACTCTCTCAAAGTCATACCAGGTCACTTCGCGGTAGTTGGTGTATCCCCCAAGGCCATATGCCTCAGTGGGATACAATAGCAGTCCGTTCTATTTTTTTAAGGTGAATATTCAAATATACAAAGTTCGATGGCATGGAGTGACAGCACCAGCCAATAGCCTTTGCGATAATCGCGGGAAACTGCACGCTGATCGCACCTCATTGCCACGTGAGCCTGCGCTCTCCGCATTTGCATCCATACAGACTGCCTCCAAGCGCTGATGACCTGGGGTCATGATGGCAAGGCAAACATCGTGAGAGACTGCACCCGACTGGGGGTACTGTGGGATGGGGCACTATGGATGAGATCCGTCGACAAACCTGTATTTGCAGTGAAAAGATATCCACGGTACTGCAGAGTATGGCCTGAAGATGGAAGAGGGTGGCAAGGGTGAAGTTTGTAGATGTGATGAACGACAATTGGAAAAAAAAACAAAAACGAGCTATCATGAGAAGACATTTTTGCTTCGAGAGGGATGGGTGCTGGTATATACCGGATGGACAGGTACTGCGACCATTGCGTTGCCAAATTTTACGAGGAGCTCGGCACACGACACATGGAATCTGAATGCGAGGATAGGTGAGGTGACGTCCACGATGATCAAGCGGGCCAGTGCTGACGGGCTTACCTCTGAGTCGTGAAGGTCATTGAACCACGTGTTGAGAAGCCCAGACGTCTCGTATTCAGCACTGCACAAAAGGAAAAAAGAAGCAATTAAGCATCGATAGGGTCAGGCGATTGATGAAAGCACCAGGTGCCTTTGGGAAGCAATATCAGTCGCGTACTGGTAAATAATGCCACCGCTTGTGTCTGAGGTATCGTAGTCGCCCTCCATGACATCCTGGCCGCTTAAGCACTGTTATGCAAAATATGCAAAGGCAAAGTGAGCCCAAATGATACATGATACAGCAAAAGGGTATTCAAGACAAAAGGAAGGATGGCAATGCCAGGAGAGCGCTTTGCGAGCATTGTGAGCGATACGGTGACCTACCTGCACGTTCGCGCCGGAGCCGCCATGTGTGTGGTAGCTGCCGCCTGCGTAGAGCACCAAAAGTGCAGAATGAGAAATACGTGGTATGTTCTCGGGTATGTCGCTTCCTTGGGGGGTAAGGAAAGTATGAAATTGGGGTTTTTGAACGTGATGGTGGCTCACCTGCGACGCCCGTGTAGACGACGCTGTCGGAAGATGGGCAAGTCGTGCGACCCCATCGAACCTGACGTGGTTTATTGTCAAGGAAAGAAGCAACCACAAAGAAGTGAGCTGCGAAAGCAAAACAGGCTGCATGCCACGAAGGAGGGGAAGGCTGAATCAAAGGTTGAGCTAGCACCAACATAGACGTTGCCGTTGCGTCCAGACATGAAGTCAGCTCCTTCTTGGGCATGGGCCACAGGCATGGTTGACCATGTCGCCACAAAGGCGACCGTCACAACCCAAAGCGGGAACCGGTCCACAAGCATGTCGGCCGGTTACGCGCGCGCGACCGTTCCGTCAGCCCTGAGAGAACTAACATCGGATGCAAAAGCAAAACATACACAAGACAGAAATTTCAAGAAAAAAAAGCATTTCATTCGAGGATAAGGAGCCCAACGAGTGCAAGCCGGTTCCTCCGAGACGCGGCCCGGTGACCCAGATCAAAAGCACACAACGGTCAACCAAGGCCGCTGCGCGGGTTCACAGCTTGGTTGACACGCTATCGATTGGGGGTTTAGGTCCCAGAAGATTGTTGTGGTATCAGCGGGCTCGACCAGCAGCTTACTTGAAAGCGTGATGAAGGAAGCTCCCTCGGGCGAAAGGAAAAAAGAAAAAACTTTGCCAAGCGGTGTGACCCGCCGATCGCCGTGAGTCCGGCAAACAGAACACCTCGACCAGCCCGCCCCTGCCAGGATCCATAGACAGCGGGTGCAAGCGTGCAAGATGAGCGCTTGCCGGCTCGGGGGAGGAGCGGAGACGGGGAACGAACATGAATCAAGATAGAGGACAGGTCCAAGGACCGGGAGGGCAGCGGGGAGAGGACCAGGGAGCGGTACGAAGCAGCGCAAGGCAGTTGAAGATCTGGTTCATGGGCACACTGTGACAGAGAGAGGGAGAGAGAGAGAGAGGGAGAGAGAGGAAGAGGGTGCAGACACACCTCTTTTTGGAAGGGCTTGGGAAGGAAATAGAGGATACACACTCACACTCACACTCACCCAGAGCTTGCTTGGTTTGGTTCCGGGCGAAGGGGGGCAAGCCAGTCTGGGGTCAGAGGGTGGTGTGCGGGCAGGGCTGAGGTGTGGTCGGTTTGAAGGGGGAGTGTAAGGGGTTTCAGAGAAGGAGTTGCGGGGGTGTTGTGGGTCTAGGGCGGTGCGGTCGAGCCGGCAGACGAAGAAAATCGAAAAAGGGCGCAATAGGGGGCTTTGTGTGGAAAGAGGGAGACATACAAGGAGCCAGAGGGGGCATGGGAACAATTTGGGAGGTTCCAAGGGATATGTTGCTATAGATAAGTGTAGCATAATTTACACTTATGTGCGTATAATGTTTTGAGTCAAGGTGCTGCATTGATTTCATTTTTGTGACAAAACGATCCAAAAACATGACAAAACAACGTGACACAAATCAGCGACTGCTCCCCTGGCTCTTTTCTCTTCATGCCCCTTGTTCCTTTGACGCTCCTCGGCAGGCTCCTGTTCATGCTTCTCCTCTTCATGCTCTTCTTCATGCTCCTTTTGATTAACAGTGACTACATTCAACCCATGATCTTGTTGACTCTCAATTCGCTCACATGTCAATAAAATCTTGGGCCCGCGATCACCCCCCTACGCGCGACCAGACTGCTGGCGATGGGTCTTGTATAGGGCTTGCAGGCATTGGAGATACGTCTCACGGCAGGTGTGGTCAGCGCAGGGTGTGGGATATTTATCATCGTCGCAAGGACCTCGGAATGGCGAAGCACCCATGCAGTGCGATACAAATGGAATGTTGTAGTTGTTTTTGGCATGGTTGGGGCAATGGCCAAAGTCTCGCACTGTGCGCTCCATGTTCATCAACGCAGCCATGATCTACACCACCAAAAGAGTGATGCGCTTCAGTGAGAGAACACAAGGCGCTTGCCGTCAACCTGCAGGTCGCTGAGCCCGCTGCTTGACAGTTGGTCACGCAGTTCCCCTGCATACCTGATAAGCCAAGGGCACAACGTTGGTCAAGTTGATGTCACGCGTATCGTAATCAATGTAAATCAGCTTGCCCCCTTGAAACGCAATGTTCCACGGCGCCATGTCCTCGAAAACGCCCATGAACAAAAACTCGCCGTACAACCTGAAGAACAGCACAACGCCCATCAAAACATGCCTTTGTGAGAAGCTCGCTCTGGAAACAACTTCAACTCCTTTCCCCTCAGGCAGAACACGATGCAGCGTGTGAGCAGGCATGGCAACGCACGCACCGATCCTTGATTTCGCTCAAGAGGTTGAGGCGCAGGAGCGCAATCAGAGTCACTGCTCGAATCTCCTCGTAAGGAATCTTGAACCCATCCTTTTCTCGAATCAGCCAAACATCAAATTGATTGGGTGCGGTGCCCTTGAGATGCTGCTCGTAGCGCCGCTTGTGCCCATCCAGTCTAAAAACAAGCGAGCAACCACGACTGAGCGCCCATCTCTTGCAGCATTACTTGTGACGAAATAGGTTCTCAGCTGCTAGGACCAACGCACTTGTAGTCGAAATGGTGATTTACTGTCAGCCTCAACTCGAGCAAATCAACCCTTAACAATGACCAGCCAGCTGTCAGGTCCGTGCGCCCTGCGACGGCGCCTTCCACCTCCGTCATCGTCCACTCCAGCGCTTTGACGAGGCTCGGTTTGCGCACCATGCCCTCTGCCGAGAGCATCGCGCATTTCCCATCCAAAAGCAGAGCCGCAGAGCATATCAGAGAATGTAAACGTCAAGTCAACGCACACACAAGCACACGAATGTCTGCCTTCTTGCCGCGAAAATGTACAGCAAAACTTTGACGTAAATGTACAGCAAAACGTTGACGTACCGATGGTTGACTTGGCAAAGTTCTCAAAGAAGGGATATGGGTGATTAAAAGCTTGGTAGGAGATCTCCTCGTTGCCAATGAGTTCTGGGAAAAAGGTGACTACCGCCAGCGACAACATTTTGGAACTGGGCATCTGTGGGTGGCCGGCACACGCAAACATATACAAAGAGCTCAGCTTGGCCCCGGCCCAACTCGATGCTAATGCGCCGGCACGCCCTGCCTTGCAGATAATTTCAAGACGCTAAATCACACCTGGAACAGGGTCGTGGCACTGATGCTGAACATCTTCCCGAGAACACCCGCCAAAGTCTGGCTGTCCAACTTGGCCTCGGAACTCAGGACACCCATCAGCTCCAACAAATGGCGCCAGCTCACAAACTGCCCAGCATTGGGTGATATCCGCCAAAGCGGTCAGAGAAGAAAGCTCGGTTGAGTCGAAATGAGTGCGATCAACTCAAAACGAAATGCAAGGTGAACCACGCAAAGTGCAACCACGTCACATGCTTGATGGTATCGACCCACCTGGTAGCGCAAAAATTCCGGGCAATCCATAAACTTCAGCAGATACGCTTCGTTGGTTGCCACCTCGCCCACAATGTTGTTACGAACTTCAGTCGCTTTGATTCGCTCCCAGTGAGCGTGTGCCATTGTCCGTGATCGATCAAATGAAATCACCTAGAACCTCGCCACATGCATCCGCGTTGATTGGGCATTCATATCAACACAGAGAGACAAAACCTCGAAAATAACCACGCGCTCCACAGAATACACCGCCCAAAGATATGCCCAATTGCAACGCATCGTATACGTACCGTGGAATCGGGAAAGGCCTTGGCGATGGCAACGGACTGTTTGCCTTTGCCGCTGCCCCATTCAATCATGCTAAAGGGACCGCGCAGCTCCCGCTTCAAGGTTGCGACAAAACTGTCCATATCACCCATGCCCCCTGGCAGACACGCGCACATGCCCATAACGATGCAACAACCAGAGACATGAAGACGCTTGGATGAGATTCAAAATTGCCAGAAAGCCAATGGTCCAAACCCGAAATCTTTATCAGAGAAGACAGAAACCCTCTTGAGTGGGAGCGTCCCACCAAAGGGGATGTCTTGGCTCAAATGAGGAGCAAAATAAATGGCAGCGCACGTACCAACAGAGAGATCCGAAGCACTATATGGATCATGCAGTTCATGATACACCAAGCGACCATTGACAAGAAGGATGTTGCTGGGACACATGTCCTCCCGATAGGCGGTATCCAGGTAGTCGAAGAACAGGCGCTTGCGCGTTTGTGAGCTCAACCCGAGAATCGTCGCATAGTGCAGCGAAAGAGCCTTCCCGGCATGATGCAGTGTAAAGGGCGTGGGCTCTTGAGGAAAGGTCGCCTGAACTTGTGTGGTTGACACTGACAGTCGAAATTTGCGAGCTGGATCGCACACGTGGGCATTGCGCTCAAAGTTGTCAAGCGTAACCGAAAGCAGGCGCCGCGTATCCTGCGCCGCGCCCAAAGGCACATGCAGTCGAATCGACGCCGTCGTGTCAGACACGCCAACTGACGCCAATGCGGCGCGAATCAGGCCTGCCATGCGATACTGCAGGTTGCTTCGATCTTCGTCACCCAAAGCCGCGGCAATGGTCAGTAGCTTGGCGGGTGGTAGCAGCTCGATGATGGTACGACGAGACAACGTCAAGAGCCGGCCTAGATGCCGCAAAAAGGCCACGCCGAGCTCTGGAAGTGCCTCAAAGACCTCTTGGCCGAGTATTTGGATCTCGGCCAGATCCGGCACGCTGGCCAGCTGGCGGACCTTGTGGTAATCGAGGTAGCTCGCCAGCACAAGATTATTGCGCACATTTGCCGTGTAGGCTGAGCTAGCAAACGTTGAGTAGCGTTGTGAGTTGGCCCGACCCGGCACTGCAGTGATGAAGTTGCCGTTGGCGAACATCTTGGCCAGCTTGTGGCACGCCATGCCCACAACGCGACCGTAGCAAAAGCCAGCCATGGGCACGGCCTTGGCTTCTACCCCGGCTGTTACCCGGTGCTCGGCTGCCTCGCTAGCCATATCCGCAATGATGGACCAATACACATCAAAGGCAGCACTGGCACTGTCGCCCGTGCCTGATATGCCCAGCAAGGTGCGTAAGGCTGCCTCATCTGTCGTGCCAGAAGCGGCCAGCAATCGCCGGCGTGTGCGCGACGGCATATCTGGGCGGGGTGGGCTGCTGTTGCTCAAGTCCGCTGGTTTGGGGACATCATAGTCGAGATCAACATGCTTGTAGAGCTGTCGCGCAGCATCCTCTCTTGGGTCGGAATTTGAGCGCGATGGCGGGCTCGCCGCTTCCGAGTCGACAGACAACAGACGCCGGAGGCCCCATTGGTCCCAAAATCCACCGCCACCGTCGGCAGAGTTGCTTTTCGGGGGCAAAGCCTTTGGGTAGGCCCCCTCAGAAATATGTAGCTCGTCGAGGCCCTCCATGACAGCGCCTTGCAAGGCTGTTTCTGTCGCTGCGCCCGGTGTCCAGATGCGGCCACGAAAGAGAAAATCCATCTTGGGGGCCGGTGCTGTGGCAATGCCATGCGAGTCCAGGTACACCACCACTTCAGACGAGCCCATGAGCTGAGAATCGGCCTCCAGCTGCACGGTGTCGACCTCGGCCACCAGTGTGCGAAAGAGCATCTTTTTGGTGATGCGCTGCAAGTTGAGCGTGGCAATGCCGTGCAGAATTGGCGAGCGTGGGAAGTTGACGCTAAAATGCACGGCTTGGTCTCCCAAAGTTATGGTGGCCTATGATGTGACCCAACGAGAGGAAGAAAACATTCATAGGTGAGCGAGGATTTTTAAGGAAAAGTGGAGTAAAGAAGGCCAAATGTGGGATGTTTAGCGTGTATACGCACAGCAGCCTCGCCATCATCATAGTGTAGAGTGCAAGTTTGTGAGCTCCACGAACGCAGCGCGCTGGGAAGTCGTCCATTGATTGCCTAGAGCAGACCATTCGCGAACAACATGAAGACAAGATCGTGAGCAAATGGGGCTTGACCGCAGAGCATATAAGGAGACGAGCATGGACGTGTCGCGTCGAGCGCAAGGGTGTGCATCAAGACACATACCGCCACGAGGGTTTTGCAGGCCTCGGTAGTCAATTCGCGCGTCGACCTGTATCAAAACCCGCCGGCCACCAAGCACGAATAGATGAGAAAAGGGCTCGTGCACACTCAGGTTGTAAATATATGCGTACTTTTGAATGGAGGCGGTCGCATAAGACGATTCAACGGAATTGCTGGCTTTGACGGCTACGAGAGCCAGAGCCACAGGAGAGGATGAGTTCAGCGGAGGAAAAAGCAAGCCACACGAAAACATGACCTGGACTACTAGGACACTAGTCAGTCAAGTCCAGGCAATTGAGGGTGTGAGTGCGTGTTCCCAACGTACCAACAGCGGCTGCAGCAGCATCCAAGAGCTTTGAGACGCTGCTAAATTGACGCAGAATGGTGCGTGATTCTTCATCATTCGAGTCGACAACGATGAGTCGACTGGTGACAAGCATGAGGCGGCCCAACATCGTCGCCAGCTGGTCCTTTGAGAGGCCCTCAGCTAGAGCCTTGATGTTGGACACGACAATTGTGTGGAAGAACAGCTACGTGCCCAGCAGAGGGACAAGTGCGGTGCAAGCGTCAGGGCCATGGAAGGCGGTAAGCAGGCGGCGGGCGCTAGGTGATTGGGAATAATTGGCCAAACCTGGGGGTTTTGATCTAGGGTTGAGACGGTATCGGACATGCGACCTGAAGCAGCAGCGCAAACATAAGGCAGATGACGGCTGCTGCTCTCGGATAGGATGGCCTGGTAAGTCGCGCTGTAGCTCAGGGGCACGACCGTGATGATGCTCAGGTCTTCCTCGGCCAGTGCCAGGGCAATCTGCGTGCGGTGCATTGAGAGAGTGCAATGCAAAGCAAAGTCAGGGAAAAAAAAAGTCAATGCGCGTTTGTGAGCCAGGCATCGAAGAGGACGGGGAAAGCATAGCCAACGGCGAAAAATTAAGCGCGCCACACCTCGCCGAGGCCAATTTCCAGCACGGAGCCAGCCGTGGCTGCGCTCTTGATCGTGCCAATCAAGCCGGTGAGTGCATCGAAGGAAAGATGACGATGGCGGATAAACTTGTCGGGCACCTCGCCTAAGCATTGCGTTTAGCAGCAGTTTTCGGCATCAGTGGGCAAAGGGAGGTTGGCGGGGCAAGGAGGGCGCTCGATGGCGACATACCAGTGCGCAAAAGGCTCTTGAGGAGCTCCATGGGGGTACCAGACGGGCGCTGATCCTTGACGTGAACCTCATCTTGAGGAATGTCTTCTGCCATGTGTGAATGAGGCGATTTGGAGACCACAAGAAGCGCCGCATCAGTCCCAAGCAAGATCAAAGGTGCTGTTGGTGTCACCAGCACACTCAACCAGCACAACAACAAAGCAGGGCAAGAGCAGCAGAAAGCAGCACGGAAAGGCATGCACAGTACCAGTGTCAGCTTTGTCAAGGTCTGCGATGGACACGGCCTGCTGGGGATGATCAAGGAAAAATTCTTGAAAGTTGACCGACACATCTGACATGCGCTCCACCTTGGCCTGATTGGGTCGATTCAGGGCTGCCAGAGGGACACGAGCACCCGCCTAAGAGGATCGATGAGATGCAGTACCAAATCAGGGTCGAGCGCGCATCGCCATTCCATGGCCAAAACTCCGAACAAGCGATGCGAGGTGCAATCACAGCCAACGTGGCAGCTGGCGTGGCACTTGGCCAAAAGCGCAACGCAGAAAGAACATACCCGTTGATGCAACTCTGCCGCGACGACGGACACCTGCACCAGCATCGCCATCCCCATCAGCACCCGTACCCATGCGGATACTCGCCGCACCTCCACAGCCATGGCTCCTCCTATCCCAGCACCACCACCACCACCACCACCGTCGTCGCCGTCGCCGCCGCCGCCGCCGGACTGTCTGTCCTCAAAACGTCTCACTGCCCTCCCGCACACACACACACACACACACACACACACAAGAGAGAGAGAGCAAAAAACGTAAACGCGCACAACTGTGACGACGCGCTCGGTCGGTGTCGCGTTTATCTTACATTTCAAAGTGTAACAACTTTACACTGTAAACGAAAGATCTGACAAATGGACGGGGTTCTATTGTCTGACAATAATGTCTGACAAGTGGAACATGGCTGTGCCACGACGACAGGTGGCTTCTGTCTGGCATAGTTTTTGACGGTATGTGGGAACTTAATGCAGCGGTATATAAGTAGATAATGATTAAACATGGTGGTTTATTGGTGTTGATCGCGAGGTTTGTGTGGGTTATTTGCACGGCGCTCACCTCGGCACAACGCAACAGGTAAGAGGGCTCACCCGCAACAGCAGGCGACGGGCGGTGGGTGGTGGGCGGTGGGCGGCGACTGGACGCGATCTGCTCTGAGTGGGACGGCAGAACATTCTGCGTGTCTTCCGGCCTCTCTTTTCGCCATTTTCTGTCGTCTCTCTCTCTGCCTCCACCCTCAGCTTTGGGGTTGTTCTTGTCAAGATGCACTTCTCACGGCTTGGGCCTGCTGGATTTTGGACGACGAGCGCAGCAGATTACCTTCCAGAACGATGGCGCAGGCAGTCAACCAGACTGTCTTGGACGGCAATCTTACGGCCACCCTTGACCTCGAGGATGTGGCTACTCTAATTCCCGGCATTGGGGACAATGCGCTTCTGACTTATGTCATGCTTCTGGTCATGGCCATCGTGCCCATCTACGTTGGCGCACACCGCAGCCTGGTATGTGCCCTGGATTGCGGCCGATCAGCCATCCATTGACCTGACGTATCCTAGCCGAGGGCCACATGCCTCGCATCTCGCTGCTAGGCTCGCCGTCCTTATGGCTCTTCTTGTTGTACCCCCCTATACTGCTGCTGAATTTAGCGAGTGGCCAGCGAGCAACGCGAAGTTATGACCCACAAGGATGCCATGCACTTTCCCCTGACCGCCTCAGTGGTCTTGGTCTCTCTTTACATTGTCTTCAAGGTACCCTGCAGTCTTGAAGCAGCCTCCAGCTAGACTGCCCAGTGGAATCACTCATCGCTGTGCTTTGTGCACCCAGTATTTGGGCGAAGAATATATCCGCCACCTGCTGTCGGCTTACTTTTTTCTGGCCGGTGCTGGCAGCGCTGGCATGATGCTCTCGTGCGTTTTAGCTGCATCATATCCCTCCAATCCCATCCGCTGTACCCGCTCTGTGTTGCGCTGGCTGGATCCTGACGCTCGCTTCACCTCTTGGGTAGATCGCTTCTCCGCAGCGTGGTGCCCTCGAGCTGGGCTGGCCCGACCTTTCATTTGTCCTTTGTCCAAGGTTCGTAGGGTGATTCTTGGACGTTTGCACCAGAGTTGCCCCGATAGACAGCGTTCCTTGCTGATTTCGACGCTTGTCTCGCGCTCAATGCAGAAAACAACGGCGAGGCAACCAGTGACAGCAAGGATGATGAGGCCAACAACACACCCCAGTCCGAACCTGTCGAGAGTGCGTGCCCCGCAAAGTCTCGGCCCTTTTTTTCTTTTCTTTTCGATTCTCTGGACAATATCATTTCTACCAGAATGAAACTGCGACTATATCATCAAATTCTTGCTCGTCATCAGTCTGTGCTCACTTGTGTTTGGCCGCCTGTTGTTTGGCTCGCCAGCCTTCCTGGATGCCCGCTTCGACTACGTGGATATCGCGGGCATGGGATTGGGCGCGGCACTGAGTGGCCTGTACATTTATACTCGCCACTGGCTCATGAACAACTTGTTTGCGATCAGCTTCTCCATATCTGCCATTGAGATGCTTTCCTGCAACTCATTCACCATCGGCGCCATGCTGCTCTCTGGTCTCTTCTTCTACGACATCTTTTTCGTTTTTGGCACGGATGTCATGGTCACCGTTGCCAAGTCAGTCCAGGGCCCCATCAAAGGTGTGTCATTGTCGGCTCTATGCTCGTTTGGCCCGTTCAACCCGCGCGCTGCCCGCACCTCCAGGAGGGCCCCGTACATTACACGCTTTGACGGGTCGGGCACATCATGACATTTGGGCGTTGAACGCTTGCTCTTTGTGGCAGTGGTGTTTCCCAAGGATTTCTTGGCCAATGGCATCAACTCGACCATGCATGGCATGCTTGGCTTGGGTGATATTGTCTTGCCCGGTATGACACTTCCTTTGCCACTTTGCTTTTTCTGATTCCTCCTGTTGGCACTTGCCTGCCTGGCCTGGCCACCTACCGTCTTGAGACTCATGCCAATGCCCCTGCTGACGGAACGCAGGCATTGTGATTGCTCTGATGCTACGATTTGATCGCAGGTCCGCGCGTGGCTCTGGCCCTGCTGACTCGCTTCGCAAGCCCCCATGCTTTTCTGCTGCCATGTATCATCCCTACGTGTCTGACCCATCTTATCGATCGTCGCTTTTCCTTATTGCCCGGACAACGCCCTTTTCACCTCTTGTAGCCGCAAGCCGACCGGTTCCCTCTATTTCTCTGTGGCCATGCTGGCCTACTTCTTGGGCCTCGTGACCACCATGGGCGTGATGCACTTTTTCCAAGCCGCCCAGGTATGGCCTGAAAGCCAAGCCCCAGCAATGTCAAAGCAAGAAACCTACCGGTATTCTCACGCTGCGTTGAATCAAATGCCTGTGCTGAAAAACATAGCCGGCGCTTCTCTACCTGTCGCCGGCAGGTGTCTTGGCGCCGCTGCTCACGGCGTTTCTGCGCGGCGAAACGTCGCTCCTGTTCAAGTATGTATCCAACGACCACGGGGCAGTCAACCTATGTGTACCTTAACACTTTGTTGATGGACTGGCCTCTTCTTCTTTTCTCTCCTTGTACCATTATAGGTATGCGGATGAGCCCGAGTCGGGCACCTTCAGCCTCAAAGAACTCGGCCTGCCCGACTGGCTGACCGGCGCCAAACCAGAAGAAGCGGAGAACAAGGAAGCCAAGAAGGACAATTAGTCTTGGCTCATCCATCACTCTTCTCCTCCCCACCCCACCTCCTCTTGCTCGGTCAAATCGAATTCAAAGCAGCCAGCCCCGATGCATCCATACACCTGGATCTGAATTGTGGCTCCCCCTCTCTCTATAACGTTCTTCATCTCCATCTCAAGCTCTTTCCCAAACATCTTCAACTTTTTTGTTTGTAACCTCATGTAACATGTGTTTGAAATTTTGACAGAAGAACGAAAGCTTCTCGCTCTCTCTCTCTCTCTCTCTCTCTCTCTCTCTCTCTCTCAAACTCTCAAACTCTCTCTCAAACTCTCTCAAATCTCTCAAACTCTCAAACTCTCAAACTCTCTCTCTCAAACTCTCTCTCTCTCTCTCTCAAACTCTCTCTCTCTCTCTCTCTCTCTCTCTCTCTCTCTCTCTCTCTCTTTTCCTCTCTCTCTCTCTCTCTCTCTCTCTGAAATTTCGTTTTTCATCATTTTCCAAAAGGTACTGACTTGGGGTGCGCATGGCTGGACCGACTGGGCTGGAAGGCGGGATGGCAGCGCCACGTGACGTGGCTGGTGCTGCGCTGCGTTGTGTATAGGCGTAAAGAGAGAGGGTGTGTGTGTGTGTGTGTGTGTGTGTGTAAGAAAGAAGACAAAAGAGCTCTTTTGGCTCGTGCTCTTTGCTCATCCTGTTGGCTGGACCCGTGCGCAAGAAGATTGTGCCACCGCCAGCATGTCGCGGCGTGCGGAGGAGCTTCTCAATGCGGACACGGACAACTATTATGCTGTCCTGAACGTCCCCAAGGAGGTGCGTGAGACGTGATGGGCTTGAACCTCTACCCTGTGTGGCTCGTGTTCCGACCAGACTCACCGGGCATGTGCGACTGTCGGTTTGTTCTGCCTTGTTCGTCGGCTGCAGGCAACTGCCGATGAAATTCGTGCTGCGTTTCGTCGCCTCTGTGTCTTCTATCACCCAGACAAGCACACCAAGCCAGAAGCACAAGAGGTGAGTTGCACCCTGGCCAGTCATCATTGCGCGCAGCCTGCAACTCTCATCGCCTCGAACACTTCCGCTGATTGACCCTTCTTTCCGCAGCTGGCCAGCACTCTCTTTCCCAAAATTCAGCGCGCTTACGCCGGTGAGCTTTGTCAAACTTTGACTCATCAAGTCTACTACGCTGCCTGTGCCCCCCTCGCCTCTCCTTTTCACTGCGGTTTTTTTTCTCTCAACTCACGATTATACACAACATCGCTTGGGCAACTGCTTTATGATGACAGTCCTTTCCGACCCGCAAACCCGGGCCATCTACGACCTTTATGGCGCTGCCGGTGTTGAGGCTGGCCATGAGGTGTGTCAATTCGAACCATACTGCTTCATGGATTGCAAGCCAGCGTACAGTCCCGTCACACCCCTAATATCCATGCCAAATGCCTCGCTGTGTAGCTCGCGCCATATTACAACACCGTGGCCGAGGTGAGCTCTTTTCAAGCGTCCGTGGGTTTGACCATCTCCTCACCCGCTCACCAGCCTTCCCTTTGTATGACCTTGGCTTGCCTCGCCACTTTTAGCTCAAGGCAGAATATGACATGCTGCAGCGCAAGCAAGAACACGAGCGCCTTCTTGCCATGTCCGCGCCTCGGGTATGTATCCCTCAATTCTTTTTCCATGCGGAGCTGCTCTCACCGTTGGATCTGATCACTCTTTTGTGGTTTTCTGATCACGCCGTTGTTCAACCCTCCACAGGGCTCGCTGACGTTGAACTTGGATGCCCGAGATGTTTTTCAAGCCGACCCCGATGAGGACGAAGGGCCTCTGGCGTACGTGACGAAGCACCTCGCCTGTAGGCAAACTCCTGAACCCAACGCCATGCTTCATCTGAGACTCACGGACCAACACGCCTGCTCTAGTCTGATGAACCGAGTATACATCTCGGGCATGAGCATTGATCAGTCTGTTCGGGTAGGTTCTGCATCCCCTACCCTCCTCTCGTTTCTGATCGGCCGAGCATGGGCTCTTCCCACGTTGGACCGACGCCCATTTATGAACGACGTGTCTATCTCCCTGCGCCCCTCTGCTGCCGTAGACACAATTGACTTCCAAGGACACTTTGCAGTTGGATGGCTTTCTGGTATCGCGGGACTCGCGGTATGTTTGAAGCTGATCATCTGAGTTTCCACGCCTCGACTTGTTCTGCACTGCACCACTTGCTGGTCAAAGTACCATTCAAGCTCGCCCTGACTCACGTCTTCACTCTGTTTTGCGCACAGGAGCGGCGGGACCCTCATCTCCACTTGGAAGCGGCAATGGGACCAAGGATGGGCCACTGAGGTGTGGACGCGGGGTGCACCCATCATTGTTGTGCCAAATCGCAGCCCCACTTTGCCCTTCTCATGGCCAAGAATTGCCCATGTAGAGTTCTTTGGGTGTGGGTGACAGTCGTTTCGTGGCCCTCAAGGCACAAAAGACGCTGGAACAGGGGAGGTGCGTTAGTGCGGCCCAAAGAGAGAGAAACAGAGAGAGAGCGAAGCACTGCGCCTCATCTTCGTGTCGTGACCCTTCTCCATGGGCTCTATCATGGCCTATCACAATTAGTTTTGCAGTTTTTGAGTCCAGCTTGCGCGAGCTGCACGTTCGCAACCGCACAGCCGTGGCCATGTCGGCCAGCGCAACCGTGTATCGGAGCTTGGCGCAGCATTTGTATGGCCTTCTTCAGTGGCAGATCGGATCGGACTCGGCTATGAAGACAGCCATTGTCTATGACGACCAGCGCATTGCTTCGCGCTTTGAATTCAAGGTCAGTCGGTTATGGTCAAGCTCAGGACGTATCTAGGCTTACCAATTGAATGCGGCTTGCTTTGATTGTGTAGATGGGCGCCAGCGACACGGCTGCCTCAACCTCCGTTACCTACCCGCTGACCGACGCCACCAAGATCAAGCTTTCAGCCATGGTTGGTAGCTGCGCTGACCGACAAGCTTTTGAAATCTGCTGTTGCATGTCCGGGCACCATCATTGCCTCATGGACCGATTTCCACCTGTGTGCAGGTTGGCTTGAATGGCTTTCAAGTGGGCTATAGCCTGAAGCACGCCATCACAGAGCACAGCGCGCTGGGGCTGTCACTGGGTTGCCATTCCACCGATGGCATTGTTGTCAAAGCCAAATTTGAAACCATGCATCAGACATATGGTCTTCCCATCTTCCTCAGTGATGAGCTGATGCTTGAGCCCATCATCTACGGCACCTTTTTCCCGGTACGGCGCCCATAGTGCTTGCAGCGCTGGTCATGCACACGGCCTGTGCCTGAGTGTGTCAGTGTGTTTGTGTATCAGTGTATTCTGTCTGTCTATGTGTCTGTGTGTGCCGGCAAACTGCTTTTGACAAAGCATCTGCTTTGCTCGTTTGGTATCTGCAGATTGTCGGCTTTTTCGCGGCCAAGCACTTGATCATTGATCCTTGGCAACGAGCTCAAGATCGACGCAAGAATGAGGAGCGCCGGCGCCGAAATCGTGCGGCCGTTCAGGTTCGCCGTCAAGAAGCCTTGGCTGCTGTCCAACTAATGCAAGAAACTGTTGAGCGCAAAATTGCTGGTATGTCTATGCTTGTGAAGTTGACTTCTCGGGGCGTGCATTTGAGGATTATACCTCTGCGTTGAATCTCGTGTGTATGGTCGTGCGCACTTTTTTGTGAAGCCCTCACACTGGATTCGCTGCCACAGCGGAAGAGAGTCGTGGCGGTTTGATTATTATTCAAGCGTGGTATGGCCAGCTAGCATCTGATTCGTCTCCTGCTGCCCAAGATAGCACAGTGGTACGTTGCCGGTATCTCTTCAGGGGTTTTTCATTTGAGCTCAACTTCGAAAGTCTAGCGTTTTTTACCTGTTGATGACATGATTGTATTTGTTTCTGTTTTTTTTTCTTTTGTTTTTTTTTTTTTTGTTTTTTTCAAGCCTACGGCTTGGGCTCGTGTTCGCACTTTCTCTCACTCACTCGGTGTCGTCTCGCATATGTTGTTATGTGGGGAGTACAGATCGATGTGACCATCCCCTTGCAATGCCTGGTCAAGGACTCAGCTCTGCAACTCCACGCTACGTCCAAGGTTCGTCCTGCTGTTACTCTCTCTGGCGCCCGTCTTGGGTCCGTGGAAGCAACTGTTGTTGCAGCTGCTCGGCGATGGATTAATGCTCGCTGTCAATGCATTGTAGGCGAGTATTGTGGGTTTCTATGACCCATGTCCCGAGGATGCCAAGCAGCTCCGTGTACTTTACCGCTTCCGTGGTGCCTTGCACGAGGTGACCATTGATGACCTGGAAGAGCTTCGCATGCCGCTTCGTTCCCATGCTCGCTCCCGGCCTGCCGCTTCGGCCTCGAATTAAGACAGATACTTGAGTGACTGCTGCATATCGATTTGCAGCTCAGGACCAAATGGGAAGAACATGAGCAGTCAACAAAAAAAAAAATCAGTTAGGCCCGCTTGGATGGGCGGGGGGCAATGATGCCCACTCGATTGGCAATGACACCACAAATGGACAGCCTATAAGGCACTCAAACAAACACCATATACACGTGCGCACGCTGGGTTGAACTGGGAGGGCAATACTCAATCTGACTCCTCAAAGGGCTGTCGGGTATGTAGAACCAATGGTCGATCCCAGTGTGTGTCGCCCATGGCATGACTGTATGGAAATCCCGCTGAGGTGATGCTCTCTTCGATGATCGGCATGAGCGCCTCACCGCGATCGATGGCCTCGAGATACGGAGGCAGCGGGACGCCCTCTTTCTGCATTCGCCTGCCAGCATGGGAACGGACGTGCCGTCAAGAAAGCCAAAGAGGAATCACCTCTTACAAACCACATTCCCGCCCAAGCAAGCTGACGCGCGTACCTCTTGGCAGTACGATAGCATTTGGAAATTTGAGGCTCTACAAGAATGTTTTCTGCGCGTGGACACGTCGCAACCATGGGTGGGACCAGGTACATGAGTGTGACAAATGCAGGGGCCATGCAGAGGGAGCGACAGCAGAGGTGCTCACGTGATCGCTGGCAGAGAGAGTGCATAATTTCCCGAAACTTTTCATTGCCATGGTGGATATGGATCCACATGGTGACCGAGAAGAAGGAGATGAGATCAAAGTGGGGACGGCCGTGCTTCTCCAAAAAGGCATCGAGAATAGGATCGATCGATTCAGGATCGGCTACGTCAGCCACCTCGAACTGTCGTCGGGGTTCGGATGGCACGCCCTCTTTCGTTTGTTGTGGGTGGTAGCGCCGTGCGCGCTCAATGAGCGCAGGATCAATGTCCACACCTAAAGCCACGACGCGACGGCCGCCATGTTCCTAAATAAAAAGACCGTCGATACAAGTGCAGCCCATCAGGGGCAAGTTGAAAGTAGCATGCGTGCCAGCACGGCGCTACGTACAATCGAATTGGCCCAGTGCTTGGCTACGGCGACGGTCAGGTGCTATCCAGGAAGCGTCGCATCGCAAGGTGAAGACGGGGTCGCGGCAGCACAGTCAAGCAGCAGTGCGACGCAGGTGTCTGCAAGCCAGCGCGTCGCAGTCACCTACCCCAACGTTGCAGCCAATATCCAAGAGCAGGATGGGACGTTCACCGTCATCGTCTGCGGCGATGCAATCAGCCAGCAGTCGCCGTGGCAGCAGCGTCGTGCGCTCCTCTGGCTCGTTGTAGTTGTAGTAATATCTGCCATGGCGATGCGTTGACACCAGCAGAAGCGCACTTTGAGCCTGGAGGCAAGACGTTCATCAAAGCAGGAAGCCGCTCGCGAGAACACATCAAGACAAACTTGAAGTTGCCGTGCGGGACAGCGCCACCGCGAACCGATTCAGCGACGCTGATAAAGCCCGGCGGCGCGACCAGCGGGGCTGGCGAACCAGCTGCCTCCTTGCTCTGAGGCATGCTGTCTGCTGCACCGGTAGACTCTGCCATTCCGTCGATGCACACCCAGGCCAGGGGAGGAGGCCGGTAAATGTCGTCAACAAAAACTGTGTGACACGTGTGTGTGTGTTTTGTACTTTGTCGAATTTTTTTCTAATTTCTTCGCATTTTCTGCCCCTTTTTTTTAATTTTTTTTTTTTCCGAAGAGAGCGGGGGGAGGATTGGGGGCTTTTGCCCATGCCTTGATTGTAAGTGGGCTTTGCGAAGTGCGTGAGTAACTGTGACCCGTGGTCGTCGCACGAGTCCTCAAAAGTGCACCACAACACATTCACATTCGACAATACATGACAGCCACGATCCGCACAATGCCCCACGAAAAGCAGTTCTGAAGCAAGTTTCACCAAGGCTGTTAGTGCCCCCACGTCCTGTGAACAGGCTACAACAGAATCTCAGGACCAGGTGAACGGACAAAGCTTCCTTCGCAGTAAATCAAGTGCGGGACAGAAGCAAGGGTCAAGACACTGCATGCAGAACCCAGAATCGCGAACACATGTTCCTGTGGAGGCGTAGATAGCTAGCTATCAGGCTTTTACGAATGGAGGCGGGTTCAAAGGAAAGGGTAGAGCAATAAATTTCGTATCAGCGGCTCTTTCTGTAAAGAGCGTCTGTCGGGGGCTCAGGTCAATATCAGCAGCGGGCACACAGGGTGCATGCGCCACGCACGCAACTAGCTAAAACAATACAATTGAGATTCGGTACCTAGACAGTTTGGACCCACAAGGTGGCGTAAATGAAAAAGGACAAGTCAGAGGGCGAAGATCCGGACGGGAATGATGGAAACGCTGGCTATAAATCGAGATGAATGACGTTTGTCTTGCCATGCACAAGAAGCATGGGTGGTAGGTCCGCCATAAAGTCGCCCAGTTGTGTGAAATAGTCCAATTGTCCCTAAATAAACCATACGACAGGCCAGCTTGTGAGCACAAAAAATGGTCACATCGCCCGAGCTTCATGTACGCGAGCCTAGAGAGCACGTCCAGAAGACCAGCATACCTCTGGCGTAGTGGGTGAGGGCGGCAACGCCATGAGGCTCAAACAAGTGTTGCCTGAGTGCGAGCGGATAATATCCTTGATCAACTATGATATGTTAGAAGGAGCACACCGGCCGGTGAGTATTCTTTGTGCCATTGCGACAATGTCATCTTATCGCCCGGCCAGAGAGAGTATACCCACCGCCACTCGCTGCCGCGCCTCCAACAGCGTAAAAAACTGGCTGTGTGCTGTCAAGGCCGGAACGTCAATTGGGTCCTCCTCTGGCATGTGTGGGTCGACAGCCATCGCCTCCAGCTCTAGATTCGGGAACAACTCCTCCTTGCGCGCCGTCGCCTCGGAGATGAGCTGGATGATCTCGAGCTGTGCTGTCACGCGTAAGAGCTGCAAGTAATGCAACCAGCGCCGCCGCTCCAACGCCGCCATCTGGAAGCCATCATCAATGGCCACGAACACCCGCACAACGGTGCCTTGCCCCCATTGCTTGTTCATGCGAAGCGTGTTGATGAGCTGAAGCGCCAGCTTGAGCGAGGTGGAGTACTCGCACCAAATTGGAGGCTGCCCCTCTCGCTCTGCAGCTTCCAAACCGACAGGCACCACCCACAGATCAATGAATGACTTCTTCGAGGCATGCACACTGCCTTTCCACTCTGACGAGGTCGAATACATGGGAAGGGCGCCGTCTTCAAGGGCTCCAAAGTTGCAGCCCAACGCAAGACTGTAGTCAGAGAGTGCCACTTCCTGCAAACGTGGATCACAGGGACACGTTCAGCAAGCTGTAGGCAGATGACTTATGCGGCCGGGGGAGCGTGTAACCATAGCCAGTGCGTACCTTCAGCACATGAACAAAGTCTGATGGTGTAATGTGAGCCGAGGCGTCAATCCAGGGCAGGATCACAAGGTTTGGCTTGACGGGTCCAAGCCCGGTCATCATAATGGCATGCTGACAGCCCTCGCGCAGGCTCTGGCTGATGGACACGATCGGCAAGGCCTTGAAACGCTCTCGCGTGATGATATCTTTCCACGCGCCCAACTACAGGAAAGTCGAGGACGAGACAGCACGAAGACCGATGCACGTCACACTTTAATGCGATCAAACGAGCCTTGCAAGGCACCAACTCATACCTGTGCAACGCGCGCCAAAAGACTATCTTCTCCAAAGTCACCAAACACAAAACTGCACAGAACATAGAGGCCTCCTTTCTTCATGCTATCAGCCAATCGAGCGAGATGGAGCTCATGGGGCGTAAAAAACTCGGGGGACTACCATCAAGGTATTAGGTGAGCAATATGTCAGAGCACCGCGAGCAAGAACAGATTGTCCTCAAAGCAGGCAGAGGCATCCGAGCATACCTGCGTGCTCACGAAGAGTGGACTTGGGCGCCAAAAGCGCGCTGAAACGTCCTTTTTCTGCAGAGACACGTCGAGGCGAAGGAGGTACTTGCGCACCTGCAAAGGGCCAGCGACGCGTACGACAGCCGTGAGCACACGGACCGCGCACGGCCAGGATAGCTTGGGATCCAAGAGTTGCGGTCCCACCTGGTGAAAAATGATGGCTCGGGATACATCACCAAAATCCGTGGGTGGTGCAAAGACGGCAAAAATCACCACCAGCCCCAGAAAGGCACCTGGGGTTTGCAAAACGATTGAAAATATGCGTCAGAGCCACGAGCTCCCACCAGTACCTTGACATGGTCCAAGGGCTGATTGTTTGGGCAGCCAAGTGTCAGTCTGATGACAAGTGACGCACCAATAAAGTATAGCGACATGTGCTCGTTAATGCCGAACATGGCGACCAAGGGAATGATAAAGCCTGCCACTGCGGTATAAATGTTCCAATAGCGAAAGCTAGACCAAAGTCAACATCACAAAAAACAAAACAAAACAAAAAACAAAAAACAAAAAAACGCCATAACCTTGTGAGAGGAGAGTAGAAAGGAAGAATGGGAGGACCCTCCTCTCCAATACAAGCCCATACCTGGGTCGGAAGTTTGGGGCGCCAATCATTAATAGGAGGATAATTGCCATATTCAAGACGCTAGGGGCGCGCACGCACACATGCTTCGTAAGCAGCGGCCCGAGCAAGAGGATTGGCAAAGCATCGGCAAGGTTGCCTCATCAAAGCCTAGACCTGATGAAGAAGAGATAGGTTACACTCAGGATGGGCTCCACTTTTTCTGGGGATCCCAAGAAACAGACCAGCTGCATCATAAACCTGGAGGCAAGGGACGAGCATGCCCAAATCAAAGATGACATGTCGGACAAGAGCTCACGTCGCGCACATGTGCCTCGGCAATGCAATGCGATTTGGCGCGTACCAGGCCAAAAAGATATGCCAACGTTTCGCGATGAAAGTTGTCTTGCTGCCCAGCCAGGGAAATCGTTCCAGGGTGAGCAATGGTAGCATGCCGTCTAATGCCATGCGGCGGATTGTGTTGCCCGCAGCTAGAAGATGCACGGTTGCCGTCCCAAAGCAGCAAGCAGACATGCCAAGAAGCACGACTGTTTGCTTCAGAGAGATTACCAGCACAGTTTGATAGCTTTGCGCTATGGTACACCGCATGGCACGGCACGGAAATGAGCCCCAGCTGACTTTGCATTTTAGCAGATTGCACGTCCGTTCTTACCTTCAGAGAGGCAGTCGATTGAGGATATGGTCCAGCAGATCACGGTTGCCATTACCACAAAAAAGAGGACGCCTGGTATGAAGTCGGTGCGCAATATGAGATGCGTGCGCAAAGGGGAAGGTGGTGACTGGCGTGCTGAGCGGAGCAAACCTGTGGCAGATGCCCAAAACATGCCAGCGGGCATGGAGTGTCCAGGGTTTTGGACCTCGCCCGTGAGATTGGCTCCACAGGCGAAGCCAGAGAAGGCTGCAAACACGATGCTGAACAGCGCTAAAAAGTTGACAAAGGGTGCATGCTGCAAGGTAGTGTAGGTGAGTCTGCACAGGTTTGAACAGGGGGTGAGGCGGCGCAACTCAAAGCTGAGCCCGATCTGTCATATACCTTCATCGAGTGGCCGCCATCTTGTTCGTGTTCTTCGAGATTGCTGCGAAAGGTCGAGCCTCGTGGTCCAGTGTAGTAAGCAAGGACGACGGAGCTGTTGTCATATTCGTTCTCGCTCAGGCATTTGTCAGGGGTGTAGGGGATGGGGTCCCGAATGAAGAAGCTTCGAGATGAGCAGCACAGAAGCCACCCGTGAGCCGAAATCCGAAAGGGGCAACGTTGTTCGTTGCCCGTGGAGGACCAAGGGGCAGGGGGCGAGGTTTTTGTCCATGACAGAGGCATGTTTATGTCCACATACCTGCACACTGCATAAATCAGAGCAGCCACTTTTATGTAGTAAAAGCAGACGGCAACGGTGGAGTATCCACGCGTGCCGAACATGGCCAGGCAAAGGCAGCCTAAAAGGCCTAGCGAGGCCACCCAAAGCGAGGTATCATATTCCTTGTTGATTTCGCTCTAGAATGTTGACCGAAAAGGTGAGGTGATAGGTTGAATGAGGTATTTCAAGTGGACACGTGCACTTGGGCAAAGGAAAAAGAGCAGGAAAAAAAAAAAAAAAAAAAAAAAAAAACCCAAAGAAAAGAAGGAAAAGAAAAACAAAAAAACTAGGAGCACATCGCGTCGGCAAAAGGACAAACCGGGGCGCGCTGATAATACGTGAGGAGCTCCTCAAAGGTAAACAGATAGTAGACTGAGCCTACGAGATGTTCCATCAGCAGAAGCAAGCCTTCAACAACAGGGGCGAATTATGAGCCTGGGCCACTCATGGCGAGTTGTGGAAGCGATAAAGGCAGGCAAGCCATTTGGTGAGTAGCTTGGACAAAAGGATGCGATACGACAAGGATTGAACTTTTTAATTTACCGATCGCGCCACCCAGTTCTGCGCCGAGGGTCCGACTAATCAAAAAATAAGGACCGCCCGATTGCATCTTGCCGTTTGTGACAATGGCTGTGGCAACGAAAATTCGTGCAAAGGAATAGGCAGGGCCATGAGCGGTAGTGAAGCTGAGTTACGCGTCCAACGCAGGCACTGGTGCAAAGCCACACGGGCAGAGGCAGACGGATAGGTGGAGGTGGGGGTGGAGATGGACACAAGAACAAAGGGTGGCTGCGCATGGTGATTTGCGCAGCATATAACTTACGAGCAACTCCGGCGATAAACAAAAGCGATATAATGAAAATGACGGCAATCATGAGCAGGGTCAAGCCATAACCAGCCTAAAGGTGAAGAAGCCCGCAGGGCGTGAGACGCGCGCCGGCGAACAGCACTGGGATGGGCAAGTCTGACCTCTGAGAGCACGTATGGCATGCGCAGGAAGAGCACTGGGCCGATGATGCCAATACATGCTGGCACGTAAACGCCTCGAAAAGGCGAGAGGAGGCCACGGGGCACAATAAAACGACCCACAAAGCCTGCCGGAATGTTTGTCCCGTTGGATGAGGCAGTCAAGGGCCGGGCGTAGAGCCTGAGGGGAAGCCATAGAGGGGAGAGGGGATGGGTTGGAATCTTGTGGTCGAAACGAGGCGAGTGAGCACACCTGCATGTGCGTTGATGCTTTCCTTGAGACTGCGCCGATTCGAGGAGCTGCGCTGGATACCACCCCCCGAGGGTAGGAGCGGAATGCCGTCATCTGTTGAGCGGAATCACACAGATGCGATCTGAGACTCGTATTGGTCAAACAAGGGACGTTGCCTTGGACATGTTCCCGCGTCCCATGACTTGTTATGAATGGGCAGCGCGAGCTTGCAGGCGACGGCTTGATCCGTCGCTGACAGGCGCAAGCAGAGCAAGGGTGCACAGGGAGGGGGCGTACCGAGAAGAGGGTCCATGAGTTCAGCTAGCGGCATGCCGAAGCATGCAGTTCATCATGCGAACCCTCTTGCTTGTGCTTTAAGTAGTAGAGCAGGCCGCTTGGCGCTGTACCCGTGGGCCCTAAGGGCTGGCAAGGACGGGCAAAGCAGCGCGATCAAGCGCATCGAGTCCAGATCAGATTACTCGGCGACGTTGCGTCCAGCAGCTCCATCGCGATCGATTGGTCCAAAAAAAAGCAGACGGTCAAGCAGAACAATACCACGAAACGCACCTCACAAAGGCACGTCACCGTCCACCTCGGTCCTCGTCGTCGATCCGAGCCAATCCCGACGACACCAAGCCACCACCACCCCCACTTTGGATCCTTCCAAACCCCCGTTCGCGTCTCCCCCGCGGAGTGAGTGAGAGAGAAAAGAGAGAGAGAGAGAGAGAGAGAGAGAGAGAGAGAGTTTGAGAGAGAGAGAGTTTGAGAGAGAGAGAGTTTGAGAGAGAGAGAGTTTGAGAGAGAGAGAGTTTGAGAGCGACAGAGAGACGGAGAGAAAGTCTGAGAGTTATTGAGAGGCATTGAGAGAGTTTGAGAGAGTTTGAGAGATATTGAGAGAGCTTGAGAGAGATTGAGAGAGCTGAGCGAGTCGGTCATTTTGACAGTTGCAGCAAACATCAATAAAAAAGATGACAATCCATAATCCATCTGTGTGTGAGCAAAAAGGACAAGCGTCTTGACATTCAGGCGATGTTCGTAGGGGCTTGACCACGGTCAAGTGGTAGGTGTGGGATCGGTGCGGGCCAATGGTACAAGGGGGGGGACGAGGAGGGTATATGAGCATCAGAGCATCAATTTGCAAGAAGTGAGGAAAATGGTCCGAGACATCTTCTCTCTCTTTTGATTTTTATTTTGATATCACTTGTCTCTGACACGCGGCAGCTGTGAAGCAAAACGAAACGAGCTGGCGGCTGTTGAAGACTTGCGGATGCTTTACGCATCCGCTGATTCAAAATACTCCACTTCCTGGTAGAGGGCAACGCTGCCTTGATTGCTCGAGGCGAATTCGTTGCTGGCCCAGATGGTGCTGTTGGTCACCCATCCCACCGTACTACGTCCAAGGTAGAGCGAGGCTGTCACCTCGTCAATCGAATACTCGCGCTCATAAGTACCGGTGGTGCCCAGCTTGAACACGTGAATGCGCCCGGCATAAGAATTGGCGCCATACTCGGACACGAGCAAGGCCTTGGTGTAGGGCTCGATCGCCATGGCCGAGCCAAAATAGCCATATGTTTGGAGCTCGTCGCTCTCCAACGTGCCCACCCGAGAAAATGAGGTTCCCGAGCGGCGGTAATGTACCACAATGCCCGTATAGGTAGTGGTTGTAGATGCATACGAACTGCGCGGACAACCCATGAGAAAGTTGATGCCATCCGTCGCCACCGCTTGACCGCAATATTGGGTTGAGCTGGACGTGGGCGGGTAGGCCGTGTAACGCAAGGTGTAGTACGAATTTGACGTGCGCTCATAAATGACAGAGCGACCCCGCGAAGACGAATAACCTTGCTCTCCAACCATCACGTAGGCATTGGCCACTCCCATGTTCATGTACACCGATGTCGAATACTCGTACGTGGTATACCCCGTGTGTACAAACGTGCGGCTCGAAAAGGACGTGCCACTCCAATACAGGAGGCGCATGCCACCTCGGTAGTAATAGGTGCCCGGGCAGCCCACATTGACATATGTGCTGGTTGGACTGACTTCATCAATACTCAGAGTTGAGCCACACAGACCGTAGCGATATGTCGACGAGGTAGTCACATACGAGTAGCGGTTGACAAAGGTAAAGGTACCGTCAGCCTGGCGTCGATATGCGAGAACGGCACCACAATCGCGATAGTAGGAGTACGTGGAATGATCATAGAGCGGGGCTCCAATCATGAGGTAGCTCTTGCTGAGCGCAACGCTTTCGCCAAAGCGAATGGCGGTGTAGGGTGGTGTTGAGGTCGTGGTCGGCCAGGTGATGGATTGGATCAGAGCCGGTTGACTTCCATTTGCGAAGACGCGGTAGATGAACACGTAGCCATAGGTGCTGTAATATGGCGCACCACAGGCCATAATGTCGTCGTAAAAGGAGCAAGATCGACCAAAGTAATCCGAGGAAACGGCAGGACTGCTCAAATACTGGCTGCGTGCCTTTGGCAAAACGCCGAGCAAAAGCTCCTTGACGCCATTCACATCGGACAGAACCTGCTTGCCGCGCAAGCGCACTGTAGCCATTGTGTCCCGATCCACATACTCAAGTCCATTCAAATCGCTGCGAAGATCAGTCATATCGGCAGCGCTGTCAGCCACATTGGCGCTGGCCACCTGAGCCGATCGATAGCTCGTGCTGACCTCGGCCGACACCTCGGCCCGATCCGCTGCCGCCGACGACAAATCCCCCACCATGTCGCCCACCGCACTCGCCAGATCCTGCTGCGCCTGGCCCAGGTCCTCCGAAAACTCCTGCGCATCATCCTTCACGTCCTCAATCGCATCTGCCACGTCCTCGCGCACGTCCACGGCCTCATCAGCCACGTCGTCCAGTCGATCCTCCAGATCGCGCTCGAGGTCATCAATGATATCGGCCACGCTGTCCACGCGGTCATCCAGGACGTCACCAATGCGGTCGTACTCGGCCTCGACGCTGTCAAAGGCAGTGTCGATGGCGTCTTCGAGGCTGGGGAAGGCGCGGGAGACCTGGGCGGCGCGGGACTCGAGGCCGGAGAGTTCCTGGTCGAGGTTGGCGTCGGCGTTGTTGACGACGAGGGTTTGGGCTTGTTCAGCGGCGGTGAGCTGGCTGTTGAGCTGGTTGATCTCGGTGGAGAGGTGAGTGTCCTCGGTACCGAGGAGGGAGCTGATGGAGGACATGAGGGCTTCGATGTTGTTTGAGGAGGACTGGGTTTGGGCGGCGCGCTGTGTGAGCTGATCGCGGGTGGCGTTGAGCTGTTGTTTGAGGGCATCGACGTCGGCGCGCATGGAGCGGAGGAGGACGGCGAGGTGGGTGACGTTGAGGGTGTTGAGGGCACCTTGGAGGAGGACGTCGCCGGTGCTGGTGATTTGGATGCCGTCCGAGGCGACGGTGACGGCGCGGGCCGCGTCACTGGTGCGCAGCTCTGCCTTTTGTCCTTGCATGCTAATGCTCTCAGACGCTGTGGCAGTGATATCAGCACCACGAACATTTGCCTGAAACGAAAGAAGATCATCAGCGTGTGGTGCCGTTTGCCCGCGGCGCGATTGCAGAACATGAAGTAGACAGCGGTAACAGTGACTTACCGACTCTGCAGTGACCAAGACACCGTCTGACTCTCCCATATTGCTGACTGCAATAGACTCATTGGCCTCAAGTGTGTGTGTACCTGCGCCGGTCACTTGGAGTTGATCCGAGATCATTTGCACACTTGTTCCCGTCATGCGGATGGTTGATGCTTGAAAACTGGCCTCTTGGGCTTCAAAGGTCACCCCCACAGCCTCGACGTTGATTTCACGCGCGGCGGTCAGGTCGATCTGGGCCTCTTGTGTGAGATGACCATTGTAACTCAAGCTCACGGCATCGGGGGATCCAGGGTTAACGTCCAATTGCGCTGAATCTGCAGCTATGTCAACGTGGCCCACTTCCAGAGCCATGTCATTGGCAGTCAGGTGCAGCTCATCCTTGTGCACGCGCAGTGGCGTGTCACCGCTACGCAGCTGGGCCTACAAGCAGAGTCAAAATCATAACAAAACATTGATTTGCCGTGAGCGACTCAGTGGGAGAAGCTCCCATCCGCTTGCGTCGTCGAGATCAAGCCATGGGGGTTGTTTGGGTGTCGCACCGTGATTTCCGAGGCCGTCACATCCAGGACTCCATTGTTGGTAGTCAGGCGAGGCGGCTGGCTGGCAACTGAGGCAGCCGCGAGCAGAGCCAGCACACCCACCACCGAGCGTCCCACACCCATGGTGACCAAGGCCCGACTCACACACAAGTGGCCACTGGCCCCCAAAACAAGTCCAGGGATCAAGATCCCAACAACGTGCTGTACCAAGGCAGCAACCCCCGAAACCGTAAGACCCAAAGGGCAACCGACACAAGCAACGTGCCAACCACACCCCACAACGGAAAAAAAAAAACAAGAAGAAAAAGAAGATGAAGACGCCGAAAAGAAAAAAATGGCACTGAAGCACGCCCCCGCGCCAGTACGACAGCAAGCGATCTCTCGTGCAGGAAGGAGCCAAAGGAGCCAAAGGGACAAGCCGGGAGGTGGGGGGGGGGGCCGAAGGCTGTACCTATCTGCATGAGCAGCCATACATGGATGATCAGATGAAAGGGATATCAAGTGTAAATATGCCACACATGTGATACAGCGTTGTCATACTTGTGTGCAGGTTGAAGAAGGGGGCATAGGGGGCAGATGTCATTCGGTTTTAGTAGCAGAGGGCGCTACATTGGGGTGGAAGGTCACTTGTTGCAGTTGAATATCGACTTGTTGCAGTTGTTAACATTAAACATTACTGATATATGAATACTTTCTGTGGCTGGATTAATTAGAGGCGCCTTTAATTTGTGCATCGCGTGCGCTGATCTCGCAGCGACTGGCACGGGCGGGTTAGACCCGTGAGGCAGCAGCAACAGCAGCAGTAGTAGCAGTAGTAGCAGCAGTAGTAGTAGTAGCAGCAGCAGCAGCGTTCGAGGGCGGGCAGCGCGCTTTGTGCGGCGGATGAGTGATTCTGCGTTCGTTATCCCTTTGACAGAGGGCGCTCTTGATTTTGACTATTGATTTTAGGGCAAAAGCCGTTATAAAACAATACAATCTAGTAATTTTAGGGGGCTCGGTAGAATACGATCAGTCTGTATCTAGATTTGTTTGTGTGTGTGTGAACAGCAAGTCGAGTCCGTTGAATGGTATGGGAGGGTGAGAGCAGGCGCAGAAGAAGGTATGACGAGTTCATCTCTTATTCAAAGAAATGACATGCTACTTGAGGAGGAGGTCATCTATTCCATCCCATCCCAAATACCGCCGTATCGAATACTGAGCGGGTTGTTCTTGGATGCGCTTTTGGGCCCGAGTCAATTCGTGGTATGCAAGGCCTATCAGAGCTGACAAGAATCATCACAATTCTTTGAAGACAAACCCAAAAGCAGAAGAACAGAAAAAAAAACAAACTCAATCTTCTACTGATCAGGCAGACGCCCACATTAAAAGAGCTGAATGTTGTTGTACATGGAAACAATGCCACGCGACGAGTTGAAGCTATAATAGCCGGCGAAGAAGCCATCCCCACTAGGAAATCCAATCAGCGTGTGATATCCCAAGTACTCGGATGGCAATGCCCCCGTGAAAACGCGCTCGAGCTCAAACGTGCTACCGCCATTTAAACCGTAGCGGTACACTTGCCCAAGGTTGGCCAGCTCGCCTGGGGCTGCCACAAAGATCTTGCCACCATTGACACTCACGGTCATGCCATAATACATGTTGGCAACATAAGTGGGGAGAGCCGAACGGAGCACTTGCGTTCGAGAAAAGGAGCTACCCGTACGTTTATAGATGACGACTAGACCCTCTTGGCTGAAAGTGGTATCATAGTAAGGACATCCAAAGACAAAGTAGTCGCCATCTGTCGCGGCAGAGAAGCCGCAGTACTGCGAAGATTGCGAGGTTGCTGGATACAAGTACGTCAGCACCGACGTGCTGGACGTACTGGCCCTGAGGTACACAGACGCTCGCCCAGAGTAGGAGCTATAGTAGGTGTCGCCCACAATGACATAATTGCTCGCCGAGTCCATTTGACGATCGTAGTATCCATAGTAAGAGCTACCAGCGGAACCCGTCGAGAGCGTCGAGTACAGCGTCATGATTGAGCTACCCGAGTATCGGACAGAACGCAGATAGGGGGTGCTGCCTGAGCACGCCATCTGAATCACAGCGCTCGATAAGGAATACTCGCCCAGGGCCAGACTGCGACCACAGGCGTGTGATGTGGACGAGAGTTGGTAGCCAGCCACGGCCTCGAAAAGGTTGCTGACGGAGTTTCGCCTAAAGAGAAAGACGCCACCCGAGTTGGAATAGGAGCTCGATGCCTCCAGCAAGGGTGCGCCGACGGCAAGAAAATTGGCCGATAGCGCCACCGACCAGCCAAAGTAGTTGGAGGTCGTATAGACGGTGAGAATGTTGGTAGGCTGAGCGATGGTCTGGACGAGAGTGGCTGTCATCTTCTCGAGATCAACCGTGTAGACCAAGACAGAGCCATAGGTGCCATAGTTTGGCGCACCACAGGCCAGGGTGGTGCCGTTGAAATCACAGCCAGCACCAAACAAATCGGACGTCTCCATCTCCCAGTTGGGTACACGCGAGGTCATGGCGTTGTTCTGGTTGGCGGCCATCATCACAAGCTCTTTGGTGCCATTCACATCGGACAGAACCTGCTTGCCGCGCAAGCGTAGACGTGCCACCATGGCTGCGTCGGGAATGTCAAGGTTGGCAATCGCTTGCTTGAGTGCGCCCGTATCGCTGGCACTGTCGGCCACATTGGCGCTGGCCACCTGAGCCGATCGGTAGCTCGTGCTGACCTCGGCCGACACCTCGGCCCGATCCGCTGCCGCCGACGACAAATCCCCCACCATGTCGCCCACCGCACTCGCCAGATCCTGCTGCGCCTGGCCCAGGTCCTCCGAAAACTCCTGCGCATCATCCTTCACGTCCTCAATCGCATCTGCCACGTCCTCGCGCACGTCCACGGCCTCATCAGCCACGTCGTCCAGTCGATCCTCCAGATCGCGCTCGAGGTCATCAATGATATCGGCCACGCTGTCCACGCGGTCATCCAGGACGTCACCAATGCGGTCGTACTCGGCCTCGACGCTGTCAAAGGCAGTGTCGATGGCGTCTTCGAGGCTGGGGAAGGCGCGGGAGACCTGGGCGGCGCGGGACTCGAGGCCGGAGAGTTCCTGGTCGAGGTTGGCGTCGGCGTTGTTGACGACGAGGGTTTGGGCTTGTTCAGCGGCGGTGAGCTGGCTGTTGAGCTGGTTGATCTCGGTGGAGAGGTGAGTGTCCTCGGTACCGAGGAGGGAGCTGATGGAGGACATGAGGGCTTCGATGTTGTTTGAGGAGGACTGGGTTTGGGCGGCGCGCTGTGTGAGCTGATCGCGGGTGGCGTTGAGCTGTTGTTTGAGGGCATCGACGTCGGCGCGCATGGAGCGGAGGAGGACGGCGAGGTGGGTGACGTTGAGGGTGTTGAGGGCACCTTGGAGGAGGACGTCGCCGGTGCTGGTGATTTGGATGCCGTCCGAGGCGACGGTGACGGCGCGGGCCGCGTCACTGGTACGCAGCTCTGCCTTTTGTCCTTGCAGCTCTAGCGTGGTGGCAGCGTTTATGGCAACGTTGCTGGCACGCACGCCAACCTATTCAAAGCACCCATGATGGGTGTATGAGCTAACGTTGCATGGGGGGTGGTACGGTGAAAGGGGCGAGAGCGTGCGATTGGACACACCTGTTCCGAGTTGACGTGAAGGCCAGCGTTCTCGCCCATATCGCTCAGGGCAATCGAGTTGCTTGCCCGGATGATGCGTGGGCTCTCTCCAACAATGTGCAGATTGTCTGCAATCAGGCCCACCTGGCCACCCGTGACACGAAGGGCTTCGGAGGAGGCGGAGGCTGAAGTGGCTTGGAGCGTGATGGAGTTGGCTTGCATGCGCGCTTCGCCTGTCGTTTCAAGGTTCATCGTGGCTTGGCTGTGGGTGTCGGCATGCGAAGCGTAGGTCAGGCTTGCCGTTTCTTGACCATTGTCAACGGCTAGGGCAAGGGTGGCCGAGTCGAGAGTGGTCGTGATGGTGGTCATGTCGATGGAAGGGGCTTCGAGCGTGATGGCGGCATCCTCAAGCTGCAATGGCTTGGTGCCATCGCGAAGCGTGGTCTATGCATTCAGCACGTATCGTGTGAGAGTGTGCACGTGCCTTATGGCAGCAGGTTTTTCCGAACAAAGTGCTCTCATCTTGGACCAACCTGGATGCGGGTGGGGGCGGTCATGTCGACAATGCCCTGGTCAGTGGAGATGGTGGGTCGGACCGCTTGCGTGCCGGGCAGTACCAACAGCAGCACGGCTGCCACCCGGGCCAGCTGAGCTGGAGCAGCCCATCTCTGGGTGCTGTGGCCAAGTGGTGGCATGGTGCTGTGAAGCGAGTCGAAGTGAGATGATCAGATTCGTTGTGCAAGGTGTATGGTGTAGCGGGGCTGGTGGCTGCTCTCGGGGCCTCCGGGAGATGAGGAGGCCAGGCCGCAGCTGGATACTGCAGACCAAAACAAACAAGACCACAGAAAGGAGGCGAATGTTGATCAGCGGCAGCGCACCTTTTTTCTCAGCTTGCAGCACGTGATTGTCCTCTGCTTCGGGTGAGTCCAGGCGAGGAGGCGAGGAGTACGGGGTCTATCACCAGCAGCAAGCGGACGCGGCGTCGAATCAGCCAGTGAGGGCAAACCTCGATGGATGACCAAGGCCAAGGAAAATGCAGAGGGCGTTACTGCGCGAGAGGGCGCAGGACAACGCCCTCTCGCGCCCATGCACCATTTGCCACTTGACTTCACACACCCCACCCGCATCGTCGTCAAATGTCTTTGTCTCTCCCGTCTCAGATGATGGTACCACGCACTACCAAGCCTTCACCGCCGGTTCCTCGCCTCAAACTCACGCTGCCGTTTCTGTCTTCAATACCCGCATCACTCGCGCTGCCATATCAACTTCACTTTCCACTACAAACCATAACAAGTGAAAGCGAGCCAGTGAGCCGTGTGTGGAGCTCGCTGTGTCTCTGTTGCTATATGGTTTCATCGCTCCATCTCTGATAGCCTTGGTATTTGTGCTCTATACCGATGGGTTTGGACGCTCGTCTCGCTGCTCTCTCTGCTTTTCTCCCGCTACATCGTGCTCTCTCTCCCTCCCTCCCATACACACAGCTGTGAATTTCCGCAATCTCCATAACATGGGACACTACTTGAATAAAAATGCATCAAAGTGTGACAAGTAGATGGTTGTATGATCTCGAGTGGGTAGCGCTTGGAGGAGAGAGTGGAGTATTTGTTACACTTTGCGACAACAACACGGCGATATCACGGCTTCTTTGCCGCGAGTTGTGCGCGTGCCGGCGACGCCTTTTGCAGGGGTCCCGAGAGGATGACGACAGGTCCTTTCTGACATGCGGGCATTGTGGTATCGCTGGAGAAAGCGGGCTCTCTGGTGTCGGACAGACCGTGGGCTAGTCTTGAGCCTCCGTGATTCCCTCAAGGTGAGGAACGCCAGACTGATTCGCCTGTACCTCTCGGCTTGACCAAAACGACACATGATTATCATGACAGTGACTGGGCTGGCCTGCAAGAGCTTATCAAAAAGCCTCATGGCATCGATTAAGGGAAAGGCGTTGATACACGCTGTCATCATGTGAGACGGGCAAAAACTAGGGTATCAACGCACAAATGGGTTAAAGGACACAAATCACAGCCACACCATGAGTTTCGAAAAAAGGAAAAAAAAAAAGGAGAAAAGGAGAAAAAGAAGGAGGTGGAGGAACAAACGCAACAAAACAGAAACACAAGCACAGCCAAGAAAAAGGAGAAAAAGCCGACACACACGTCTGAACAAGCCCCACAGCAAGGGCGGAGGCGGTATAGGAGAAAAGAAAGGGAAGCAATCTGAGCCTCAGGCTCGTCCTGAAACCCCCACCCATCCACTGCATATCAGCACTCGGGAGCTGCCGAGTTGAAAGGCATGTGTATCGTCACATGGCTGTGACCGTCTTGTCCAAGGTCAAGTAGCAACCAAGGATCGATCGGGTGCTGAGGTGACACGCGGTGCGTCACCACAGACACGGGCCAATAGTGGCAGCCCGTTTACCTATCAACCTCACCAAACACAATATCCTGGGTACCAATCAGGGCGACGACGTCAGCCAACATGTGACCCTTGCTCATCATGTCAAGACCAGCCAAGTGAGCGTAGCCCGGGGCCTTGATCTTGCAGCGGTAAGGCTTGCTCGTGCCATCTGAGATCAGATACACGCCTAAGCCACGCACACACACGCACACACGCACAAACCAACGGTATAAGATGGGCCTCTTTGCAATTGAAAACAGACAAACAAAATGGCGCCCCCGCCGGTCGATCAGAGTCCACAAGGCAAGACAACAGACACATACCAAATTCACCCTTGGGGGCCTCGATGGCCGTGTAAGTGGAGCCAGCAGGGACCTGGTAACCCTCCGTGTACAGCTTGAAGTGGTGGATCAGGGCCTCCATGGACGACTGCAGAGTACGTTGAGAACGAGCCAGGTGAGTTGGGCCAAGTTGACCGCACAAATGCAGACGGGGTTCCTCAAAGCCGAGGGCACATGACAAAATAACAGCAACACACACCTTCATCTCTGCGCGCTTGGGAGGTGCAATCTTGGCGTCGTCGACGCGCACCTCGCCTTCAGGCATCTGGTTCAGGCACTGCTCGACAATGCGCAGGGACTGACGCATCTCCTCGCAACGGATGAGGTAACGGTCGTAGCTATCACCCTTGGTGCCCACGGGGACCTCAAAGTCCACCTTATCGTAGGCATCGTAGGGCTGGGTTTTGCGCAGATCCCAAGGGATGCCGCTACCACGGAGCATGGGACCTGAGAAGCCGTAGTTGAGGGCCTGGTCGGCCGTGACCACACCGACATCCACCAGACGCTCCTTCCAGATGCGGTTACCGGTCAGCAGCTCCTCGACTTCATCAACGCGGGCCGCAAAGTGGGACACAAAGTGGTGAATATCGTCCATCAGGCCGATGGGCATGTCCAGAGACACACCACCGGGACGCACGTAGGCGGCGTGCATGCGCGCGCCAGACACGCGTTCGTAAAACTCCATCATCTTCTCACGCTCCTCAAAGAGCCACAGGAAGGGAGTCAGGGCACCAACGTCCATGGCGTGGGTGGTCACGGACATGATATGGTTGAGCAGACGCGTAATCTCGCCAAAAAGCGTGCGGATGTATTTTGCACGCTCGGGCACCTCAATATGCAACAACTTCTCCACGGCCAAAGAATAAGCCTGCGGCACACGGAAACGTTGCGATGTAATGAGCACAAAGGTCACGCCGCACCGCACAGACAGAATAACATCGGAAGGCAAATGTATCAGAGGGAGGGGCATGAAGAACGTGAAGTCAAGGACAAAATTAGGGACCGAGCCGGGTTTGTTCTGGATGGCTGAATTGGGTATAGATTGGCACGGGTTCAGAAATACCTCCCCTGAGACGGGAGGGAAGAAGCAGAGGCGGACCAACCTGCTCGTTGCACATCATTGAGACGTAATCGAGACGGTCAAAATAGGGGAGGGCCTGAAGATACGTCTTGTACTCAATCAGCTTCTCTGTACCACGGTGCAGAAGACCAATGTGGGGATCGCAGCGGCGGACAATTTCACCATCGAGCTCCATGACCAGGCGCAGCACGCCGTGGGCAGCCGGATGCTGGGGACCAAAGTTGATGGTCAGGTTGGAGAGCTCTTGTTCTGGGACGTATTCTAGCGGTTGTGGAGCGATTATTACGCATGAAGCATCAGTATTGGCCAACTGTCAATCGATGTTGCATGGACGTGTACGTGTACGTGTGCGCGCGCGACGCTGCACGTTGTCTCGACGCTGAACAGTAAACTGTGAGCGTACCTTCAATCTCAGAAATGGCCTCGGGCACGGCGAACACATCGTTGTTGAGGTCCTTGAAAAAGCCGGGCTCAACATAAGGGCGCACCTTCTGGTCCTCGACCTCAGTGGCGCGAGGAATTCTGCGCGACACGACCAAATGCGCAAAAGGAGAGAGAGAAAAAAAAAAAACAAGGGTGAAGAAGGAGCGCACGGCATACGTGCAAGAATGACAGCAGCAAGGTAGAGGCGCGCCGTCGACAATAATGCGAAAAGCACGCTTGGTCGGGCGCGTTCTGCTGCGCATGCCTCAAAAAAGTTTCTGGCTCTTGCTCGGTCGAAAAACAAAAGTCAGCAAGGGTCAACTCGCAGCAACGGGGCATCAACTCACGAGGCAGCAGAAGCTGAGGTGTGAACAGAGCGGGCTGCGGCGGTACGCAGGGCCGTCGTGGCGCTGGCAGCGCGGACGAGGGAACGGAGGCCGGCCGCCATCATCTCGGTTGGCGCGCGTTTGAGACAGAGAGGGGGTCGCAAGGCAGCAGGCGGCAAAAAGTGAACGCCAGGTACAACAGCCAAACTAAACAGCTGTTCTTGAATCGCCTTTCTCACCGGCTTTCAAGCCCAGCGGTGAAAAGATGCTTGTTTTTTATCCCTCCCGCATCTCAATCTGACAATCTGCTCGAAGCCACCAGAACAAAAGCGAATGTAACGTTTTGCTGACAATTGAGAGGAGAGAGAGAGAGAGAGAAACGTCGTGTAAGCAACTGCAAGCGTTTCTTATTGCCGTCATCTGCTTACTACTCTTGCACACACACTCAGGAGAGAGAGAGACACACACACGCGCTAATGCATTTTACATCATCATCATCTTCTGACGGTATTGGAGCTGTTGTGCTTGGATTCAGTGTGTGTCGTGGTGGTGTCGTCGGATCGGATCGGATCGGATTAGATCGAGCGGCTGTCGGTTTTTTTGAGCTTGTCGCGTGGGTGCGGTGCTACAACTTTCAGGCATCATGGCTGGTACCTTGACGCTACGCCTCATGCGTGGGGCGGCGCGCTTGCCGGCTGTTTCGACGGGCCTGGTGGCTTTTGGGGCTACTCGCGCTGAGCAAGCGGTACGCACGCGACCCGTCTGGCTGGCTGCATTACCACGGCGGCAGCTCTGGGGTGATTTTGGTGACGCTCATCGCCCTGACCCGCCTTGTCTGGCTTTGCTCTTGTATGCAACAGGGTGTTCAACAATTCCGTGGCATGGCGCGCTACGCTCGTGTGGGTGCCCGCACAGGCGTCATGGGCGAGCCGGCGGCCTCCTCCGTCACCCCATCCTCAGCCAACTGGGTGGCTGGAGGCCTTGCCCTTGCGGGTGTCGTGGGGCTTGGTGTGGTTGGCGGTGAGTGCCGCCCACCTTTTCTTCTTCTTCTTCCTTTTTTCTTCTTTTCCTTTGTGCTTTCGCCTACGCTTTTGGGATGTCTAACTTCATTGCTCACACGATGTCATGTGATGTTGTTGTTATTGTTGGACGCAGCGGCCTTGGCCAGCGGAACCACGGCGGCTGGCACCGTGCATGACAATAGCGTGTGGCAGCCTGCCGTGCGCCAGCGCATCTCCTCCACCTTCACTGCCTTTGGTGCTGGTGTTGTTTTTACGGGCGTGGCCACCGTGGCCCTTTTCCGCGGCGTAAGATCTCAAGCCATGGCACTTGGTGCTCCCCCAAACCGTCACCGATGCGCCGGCCACCTGGTTGCGCTCGGACCTCTGGTTGCGCTCGGACCTACCTTTCCTATTGCCTCACCTTGATTTTGATCCTTGCCTTGGTTAGGGTGCACACATGCTGATGATGGGTCGCCCCATCTTGTCACTCTTTGTTGGCGTGGGCTCCATGTTTGCCACCTCGATGCTGGTCCATTCACTGCCCGCTGAGAACACGGTGGCCAAGTATGGCGCACTGGCCCTCTTCAACACGGCCGTCGCCTTTTCTCTCTGCCCGCTCATGCTCCTCGGGGGCCCCCTTCTCCTGCGTGCCGCCGCCGTGACTGGTACGTTTGCCCGCTCGCTTCATCTCTCGCTTCATCCTTTTCCTATTACCTGCTTCCTCCCCCTCTCTTTGACCGGCCACACTTTGGTGTTGTTGCGCTCATGTGTGTTTGCTTTGCGGCCGCCTGCACGTCGTGACGCATAGGTGGCATCGTGGGGTCCTTGTCCATTGTGGCTGCCAACTCGCCCTCGGACCAGTTTCTGTGGATGGCAGGTCCCCTTGCCATGGGTCTGGGTGCCGTAGTGGTCAGCTCACTGGGCGCAGCGTTTCTGCCCTCGATGCGCTTTGCTCCCATGCTGCACAAAGTCTCCCTGTACGGTGGCCTCGTCGTCTTCTCCGGCTTTGTCCTGTACGACACGTCACTGATCATCGAGAACGCCAAGCGCAAACTCAAGTTTGATCCCGTGGGCGAGAGCATGCGTGTCTACATGGATGCCATTAACATTTTTGTGCGCATTGCCCAGATCATGGCTATGAACAACAACAACCGCCGCTAAGCAGTGGACTGCTGTCCCGTTTTCCATTCCCATCATCTTTTCTTCTTGCGCGCGTTCGCTTTCTTCTCCTTATTTCTTCGTCAGCCGTTTCAATGTGAGGTGTCAAACTCCCAAGTGTCGCGTGCGTGTGTTCACGTGGCGCGACACCAGGGCTCCATTGCCGCCTCGCCTCTTCGGCTCGATACGCCAAGGCTGGGCCTTTCTGTCAATCCATTCGTTCAATTCACACATCAATGCCGTATTAAAATGTCAGCAAAAATAATTATGAATTGGTTGAGCCACAAAAAATTCCGTTTGATCAACAGTAAAAAAACTTGGCCGTCTCACTTTTACTCTCTTGTGGTACGACGTGCGACCAGCTCAAAGTGTGTGTGTGTGTGTGAGGGGATGTGCAAATGGCAGCGTGCAGGGGAGGGGGGGTTCAGGGACAAGAAGAGGGTGTCAGTGCCGTGGCCAGTGGCGATGGCATCTCCGCACCGCTGTGGCGCTGCATGACTACATTCTGGGTGCTGCCTAGCATGTTTTATGTTTGCCGTAGTCTCACTCAAAAGCTTTTTCCTTGACTCACGGCCATGCCGCTTTGGTCCATCGGTTTTGCCACAGTACTGCTCTGAGAATGGCGTCGCAAACTGCTGCAGTCGCGCGAGGCGTGATCAGTGCCTCGGCGCAGGACGCCCGTGTCAGCGCCCTGGGCCTCTACCGTGCCTGGTCCCGTCAGGTACGGCCTTGAACCGTGCCCTTTCTACCTTGTCCTGAGATCAGCTCCTACTCACTTATTATTTTTCGCTTAGATCCCCTTCATCATTGAGCTCTTCCGTCTCGACAAGACCGAGGAGGAGTGCCGCGCCAAGGTACGGGCTGAGCACCCTCATTCACTCTGGTTATGCGCTCTGCGTACTGGCTATCCGTGCGCTTGCCTGCTCGTTCAGCCCATTTGCCTAGCCCAGTGTAGCGCCGGCTTTTATGCTATCCTTCTTCCTTCTTTTGAATGCCAATGCCATGATGTTGTTTTAGCTCAAGGAAAAGTTTTTGATCAACAAGAATGTCCAAGATGTGCGACAGATTGATATGCTCGTGATCAAGGTGAGGTTGCTGCGTTTCAATTCGACCAAGCTTCTTGACCAACATGCAGGCATACCGTGCAGTAGCTCCTCTCAATGCCGGGGAACTCCTTTTAACAGGGCAAGATGGAACTCGAGGAGACACTCAAGGTTTGGAAGCAGACGACCCATGTCATGCGCTTTTTCGAGGACCCTCAAACGGTATGCCCCACTGCAAATCAATATTTCTTCATTACCCATCTCCCAAGGTTTCATTGCACCAATGCACGCGCCCACGCACACCGCCGGTCTCACTCCCTGTCTTTACGCGCCGGTAGAACATGAACCCTCCTAAGCCCTTCATGGACAAGTTTCTCGACGGCCGATAAATGCTAGGCCTGTTGGAGTCTCCGCTCCAGTCCTGTTGTCACCGTGTACCCCTCTCTTGGCAATTCCCAACATCTTTGTCGACCCGTTCCTGTCTCTTTCCCCATTTCGGATTGCTCGGGGCTGGTCCACAGGTTCTCCTTGAGTCTGCGCGCCGTGCGCCATTCTCGATGTGCTGACCTAGTCCCAGCGTCTCACTTTCTTGCGCTCTTCGGATCTGACGTCTTTTGTGTTTTTTTTTTCTGCTTTTTGTTCAATCCTCTCCCTGCAATTAGCTCTTTCATTGGCGTTATGGCGCTGATGCTTACAAGTCGTCCTGCCACTGCGGCGGATGACGAAATGAATGAGCGCAAATAGAGGCGTCTCTGAAGCTTAGTTGATTCACCACGAATACCGTTTGCGATTTGGTCAGATTATGCTTCCGACATTATCATGTCAGGATCCTCTTCAAAGTCAGCCAATGATGCACCTACGGTGCGAAGGGGTAGGGTGCTATGAAGCCAAAAGGCCCTCTCGCCGACGACCAACGTGCTACAAGCAAGGATAATCGAATAAAGATCAAAGAAAGAGGGTGCGAACATACCAAAAAAGTGGGTGGTGACAAAGCCTTTTGAGTTGGAGACTCGACGCCCGACTTCACTCGCGGGACTTTGCCCGAAACCCACATGTGCAAGGCTGTACTGGTCACCATTGGGCCTCTTGGCCCAGTTGCTATGCCACACACACACACACGCACACACAAGAGCGCATGAGCTATGTCCCAACAGCCAATCCAGTAGGGGCCCAAGGCATGAAGCGGCCCTGACGAATCCCATACCGGACGAGGCTGCTCCGATGTATGCGAAAGAGCTGGGCGGCAAGTAGAAGACAACAGACAATGACTGCAACTAAAGATGGGCGTTTCAAAGTCAGATGATGAGACCTGGCCGACGAGACGAGTCAGACACGGTCCAGACTGGGGATGTGTTCAGCAAAGGCAAAGACGGGCGTCTACAAGCCCAAGACCCGTACCAATAATCCAGAGCTTAGGCGCGTAGTGCCCCGAGCGTTGCTGGAGCAAGTTGTTGTTGTCAATTGGGGCCGGCGTGCTCGAGTCGAAGGGATGGGGCTGACTTGGCCTCGCCGTCGTTGGGCCACGCGTGGAGGAAGCTTTGCGGGTGCTTGAGAAGGGCGGTGCTGTACTGGTGGTGGCTTCAAGGGGAGTTGTATGGGACGATGATGCCGGCAAAGAAGGGCTGGCGGTTGGCAAGGCTGAGGTGGTGCCCTGCTTGCGATAACTGTAAAACCTAGAGACAAGGCATGAGCGTGCCCTTCCATCAGAGCAAGCGGGGAAAGGTGCAAGGCTTCTGCATGCATACACAACTGAGCAGCAAGCAGACTGTGGAGAACATACGCGCCCGTGGTGGCAACGCCACCTTCTTGACCCTCACTGCGCAAGATGTAACAACTATGATGCGTTCAGCGGGTGCATGCCATGCATCGGTGAAGGCCATTAAGGTGCGGGACCTGAAAATGTTGTGCGTCTCAGATCACACAGCAGTGCGGGTGCTTACTCGTCCTGGTTGGCATTATAAACGTAACATGTGCACCGTGGCTGTCGTGGACGATCCAGCCGCAGCGCCAAAATGAATCGGCGGACCCCGAAATGTGAGATGAGCAATTGCAAAAAAACTGTTGATGGCAAGTGCGGGTTGGTTTACGAGCGTACTTCCTGGATGCAGAGTTGCATGCAACCGGCCCAACTGGCGGTCACGACCCGGATCTGCGCAGCTGGGTTCAAAGTGGAAGAGAAGCGTCGCCCGGTGCTGGCACCGCGAACCGCACCCTGCATACACGAGAGAGATGGGGCAGGAGGTCGCGGTGAGACAAAGTGCGTTTTTAAGAGCCGGAGCGAAGTCATTCAAGCCTAGCAAGGGGGCGGGGGCAAACCTCATAAACGAGTTCAAAGGAGGCGTTGTTGATGGGATCGGGCAAGGCGTGACCGACGGGGACCATGTGTTGAATGACGGGCGCCAGGAACGAGCCGGCCTGGCCTTCAGACACAAACTCAAGCGAGGCCGGCACTGCCGACATGTAGGTCTGGCCCGTTGCGGAGTCCCAAGCGCGCAGGGCAAACCGGAGTGGTGGTGCAGCTCGAGAGGACATGCCTAGAGCGATGAAAAAGGCGGTTTGCTCGAGTACTGGATTGACGGGCGGAAGGACATTGAGCACCACGCCATGGATTTCCGACGGATCCGTGGGGTTGACAGCGGCTAGGCGACTGCCATTGGCAAAGGCCACCCGCTCATTGGTCTCGGCATCAAATACCTATCGAGCAGGGCCGTGGAAAGTCGCTTCGAGTGAGAGACCCGTTGCCAGCTGGGAGAAAGGAGACCCTCTGTTGCTATCACGCCCTTGCTGAACATGCCAACAGCACAATCGCGGGCCACACCACGGTGAGAAGGCTCATGACGAGATCGTATTTGCCCAGCGGGACGGTCCAGTCTGGGGGTTCAAATCGAGGGCTGGACAATTCAGACTCAGGCCCCCCAGCACATGCCTCTGCCAAGACGCAGGTCACACACGTTGTGAGAGAAGTCGGGACAAATAAGTGAGCACGGACAGTTTGTCGGCGGCAGCACGTACCAAGGCTCACGAGAAAAAGAAGAAGCCACAGTCCAAGCGATGGAGCAGCCAGGGTCGAGATGGCGGTGGCAGGCCTGCGCCGAACGTATCGGCAAGGCGCAGCGCGCCCGAATAGCGATATCATTGCGCCAGAGAGGGAAAAGGGACGCCACGAAACTCGATGGGAACAGCCGACGTGGCCTTCAAATGCACGAAACCAAGCACCCCCCACCACCCCGCACCCCCGCCTTTCCCCCTCTTCAAGCGCGAGGCAGAAAACCAAAAGTCATTGCCAACCTGCCAACCGTCAATCATGCAAGCCATGCACCCTGTTGGGGCAACGATGTTCCAGTGAGCACCCAGCGGGCAAGCTTGACCGACGTTTGATGACGCCTTATGGTGTCGTCCCCTTTGACCCATTTTGGCGGGAAAATGACCCATTTGTCGACATTTCTTTGTGTGTGTGTGTGTGTGTGGCGTTTTCCTTCTTCTTGTTCTTCTTCTTCTTGTTGTTGTTATTGTTGTTGTCGGTGCGCTCGAGCCGAAAGAGGTACAAACGCGGTACTCGGGTCGACTTTGCTGGTTTGTGGTCTCGGGGGTTGGGGGGAAGATTGCATTTTGACGGGATTCTCGCCAGCCTCTGGATGAAAACTCTTTCTTGAACACGCATGGTGAACCACGTTGTGGCGGCCGTTGATTGCAGCACGCGGCGTTAGATTGACATTGTGCTGCACGACTCGCCTTCAAAGTCCAGATGACCATGTCTCTCGCGAATGCAGCGCTAAGTTGGATCATGGGACTGGTCTTTGCCGCCAGCGTGGTCCTATTTCTTGCCGTTCATCATCGACGCCGGCAGCGCCGCGTCCAATATTTCAGCAATCCTGGCAATCGCAGCGCCGTTCTCAATCGCGAGTTCTTGGTAAGGCCATATATGCGGTCGTCTGGCCTCGCCTGCGAGGACTTGTCTGACCGGTGCTGCACACTCTTCGCCACCTTGGTGCTTGCTAGCTGGCCGCCAGCCGTCTCGATGCGACTGGCGTGACCGAGCTGGCAAATTTGGGCGCAGATCCGCAGGCCACCACACAAACCTACGGCGACGGTGCGTTCCCTTGTACCCAGGCTCTGGCCTCCTTACGCGGTGGCCTGGCCTTGATCTGAGTGATCTGCCCTGGCCCATGTTGTTTCTTAGGCATGTATCATCTGGCCCTGCATGCCATGGCCTTGATCGGTGAGCCACGAATCGAGATCTTACAGGCCCTTCGCGATGCCGGCTGCAACCCTGACCAGCGCGATGGCTGTGGCCGCACGGTAGCGCAGCGCGCACGCTCCTGCTTTCGCATCCGCCTGCCCATCCTTCACACACACACAACCCCTCACCGTCGTTTCCACCTTTTATCCCTCGCCGCCTCTCATAGGCCAGTGCATTGGCCGAGTGTTTGTTCCTAGAGGGCCTACCAGAAGATCTGATCACCCCACCACGCCACTGCGATCCTGCCTTTATGACGCCCCAGCCACATACGGCCGTCTCCTACTCGACACAGGACCGTGCGCGTCATGTCATTGCGCGCCGCGTTCTGCCCTTTGCCCTCTAATCGAGAAACCAAAGAAAAATAAAATTTAATGCTGACATTGCATTCTCTCTCTCTCTTCAAAAGTCTGACAAAAATGTCGAGTCAGACTTGGGGACACAGGATTAACAACCAAATAAAGTGAATCAGTTGAGCCGGAAAAACGATTTGTATTTGATACAGTCAGACAAAACCGTCAAGATGGCCGGCATCAGCGTTCCCATCAAGATCATGCACGAAGGCGGTACGTCCCTCTCGGGTCCACAGCCCGGCCAACCGCCATGGTTCAAGGACCGGGTGGTGGCAGCACAGCGCTTGGGGACAGGCCGATGGACACGTGGGGGAGGAGGAAAAACCCCCAGAGGCGATTGGCTTGTCTCTTGTCTTTTTTTTCTTTTCTTTTCGGGATGAATTTTGTACCTCTGTGGCTGAGCGGAGGGCCAGGCGCTCGCCAAGAGCAACGGCCCGGCATCTGCTCTCCACGGATGGCTCAAAAGCGTGTTCTTGATGTGGCCATGGCGTGTGTGGTGTTGCATTGGCAACTATCATGCCGTGCTTGGTCTACTTGTTTTGATTCGCCTTGCTGCTGCTTCTTCTTCTTTTTTTTTCAATGGTCCATCGACATTCAACGTCAGCTCCCTTGTGACACTGGCTGGGCTCATGCTGGTCTGGACCTTTCCGTGCACGGGTTTGATTTGGAAATGATAGAGGGCCATGTCGTGACCATTGAGCTGAAGAATGGCGAAATTTACCGTGGCAAGCTTGTGGAGGTCAGTGCTCAACACATCGGGTGCACTTTTTTTTTTTTTCCCAGTCTTGTTTGCTCGGACACTGATGTCACGGCGTGGCTTTGGCATGATGGGGAACCACCTTTTTTAGGCTGAGGATAACATGAACTCGCAGCTCCGGGATGTGACCTTTACGGCCCGCGATGGCCAGGTGGCACACGTCGAGTCGGTCTACATTCGTGGTAGCAAAATTAGGTGTGATGTTTTTTGACTCTCAAGTTGCCCTGACAAATCTTGGCGCGTCGCAATGGGCCTTTGCTCCTTTCCTCCTACAACCTTCTGCATCAATCCTGTTCTGTGAATTTTGGACTCAAAAGTGGCTCGTTTGTGCCAATGCATGGTGCAGGTTTTTCGTTCTGCCCGACATGCTCAAGAACGCCCCCATGTTCAAGCGGGCGTCGGCCAAGGGCATGACTGCTGGCCGCGGCAAGACGGCCATTCTCCGCGCGCAAGGTTTGAAGCTTGCATTCTTAACCATCTCGCTCATTCACACGCTTGTGCTAGAACGACACAGCACTCGGCAAACTTTGGGCTGCACATGCACAAAGCTCATGCTCGTTTCTCGTGGTGGATGCCTACCTTGTTCGCTCGGCTCGTTTTGCAGCGGCGGCCAAGGCAGCAAGCCGGGGTCGTGGTGCCGGTCGCGGTCATCAATACCGATAAACTTGTTGCTTTTTCTGCGTGTTCGTCTCGTGCCCGTGTTTTCTCTCTCTACTCTCTCTTTTGTCTCTTCGTTCCGCTGTCTCTTCCCTTGTTACTCCTGTCGCTGTCGTTGGATATCCGTCTCCTGTCCCCGAGTGGCTTCTTGCCGTCCATGAACCGTGTTTCCGTGCCGCCTACTCCTGGACTCGAGTCGGCATGCTTGTTGGATGAGACTGCGACGTTGCATGTGGTGGGTTGCTGCCACCGCAAATTTCAAGTCACGGGCGCTCTCTGAGCGCCCGCGCAATGCCCTTTGCCGGGTGGTGTGGTAAAGGGTGTGGCCCAAGTCGCGTTGCCGAGGTGACAACCTCATTCCTCGACCTGGCCACTGAATGGCGCTGAAAGAAAAAAAATGGAAAAATCCTTATCGACCCCTGATACTTTCTCCCGCCCGCATGCGCTCGTGTGAAGCTACTTTCAAAGCAGCCACGCACAGGACCGGCCTGGCTTCCGATCAATACACACCTTCACTCGCGCGCAGTCATTTGATTTTGTCCGACAGCGTCGCAAACAAAACATTAGAGAGGGATTTAGAGAGAGAGATTTAGAGAGAGCGCGAGAGACTTCAAGAGGGAGGGAGAGATATTCAGAAACAGAAGAGTTTGAGAGAGAGAGAGAGAATTGAATTGGTTTGGTCGGTTTGAGAAAAGAGCGAAGACACAGAGAGAGAGAGAGAGGGAGAGAGAGAGAGATGAAGAAACAGGGGAAAAGCTCAAAAGCAAAGAGAGAGGGAGGGAGATGGTTTTTCTTCCATTCCGTTCCTCTTGTGTGCTATTTTTTTACTCCAAAAAGGTGTGTGCGTCAACTCCTTCTCCTTCGCCTCCTCCGCCTCCTCTCCTGCAACTGGTGCTGGTGACTGGTGGCTGGTGGCTGGTGCCGATAGTACTACTGCTGTGTTTGCCGCTTTGGCGTTTGGGTACTTGTCGCGGGTTCTTTGGGTGGCGTTGATCTTTCTGTCTCTGTCTCTGTCTTGGCTCTTTTGTGGTTGCACGCGGTGTGGCTTGGTCGAGGTTTGAATTGCACCCCCCCCCCTCCCCTCTCGCACGGCACTCACGCGGGTCTTGTTTGCAATGATGGCGATCTGTGATGCATTTTGCAGTAGCGTGTCATCTTCATCTCCATCATGGCCCTCTCTGCTGTTGCCACCGCCGTTTCCGGTATGTATTTCCTGTGCACGAGGCCGCAGCGTAGATCGAGAGACCGTCACGTGACTTTGCTGACTTGGCGTTCTCCTCGACGTAGCCTCGCGCCTGGCGCTGCGCTCGACCGTCCGCAGCGTCGTTGCACGTCGCACCATGTTCCAGGATACCGTCTCTGATCTGACCGAAGATCAGGAGGAGGTATGTACCGCAGAGCGATAGAGCATTGGGGTTGCAATATCCACACGCTACCCGCTCCTAGAGAAGAAATTTGAGGAACATAAAAAAATGCAGAACCAGCGTTGCTTTGGCCTTTGGCTTCTTCTGCTCAACTCGGCACTATCAATCATAACCATCAGATGCGCCGCACGGTGCGCGACTTTGTCAACAAGGAGCTGGCTCCCTATGCGGATCAAATCGACCGCGACAATGGTTGGGATCAATTGCGTGTAAGTCCCCATCTCCGTCGTTTTTCAAGCCTTTCTCGAGTGTAGCACGGGTACATACGGCTGGCACTCGCTTCCCCTCCTCATCCAAATCATGCCCGATTGTGACAGCCCTTCTGGCAAAAGCTGGGTGACATGGGTCTCCTGGGCGTGACGGCGCCCGCCGAGTATGGCGGCTCAGAGCTTGGCTACACCGAGCACGTCTTGGCCATGGAGGAGCTGTCTCGCGCCTCAGGCGCCATCGCCCTCTCCTATGGTGCTCACAGCAACCTCTGCGTCAACCAGGCAGGCTCCATCATGCTGGCATTGCCTTTTTTCGTTGCTCCATTTGGCTCCACAGGGGGTTTGCCTGCAGCCGTGCTTATGCTGACCCGGTGCTGCTGGCATGTAGATTGTGCGCAACGGCAACGCCGAGCAAAAGGCCAAGTATCTGCCCAAGCTGATCTCAGGCGAGCACATTGGTGCGCTGGCCATGTCCGAGCCTGGCTCGGGATCTGATGTCGTGTCCATGCGCCTCAAGGCCGAGGACAAGGGGGACCACTACGTCCTCAACGGCAACAAGTTCTGGATCACCAACGGCCCGGATGCCGACGTCCTCGTGGTTTACGCCAAAACCGACATGGCTGCCCACCAGCGTGGTATCACTGCTTTCCTCATTGAGCGTGACTTTGAGGGCTTCAGCTCGGCCCAGAAACTCGACAAGCTCGGCATGCGTGGCTCCAACACCTGCGAACTCGTGTTCGAAAACTGCAAGGTCCCCAAGGAGAATGTCCTCGGCGAGGTCAACAAGGGTGTCTACGTTCTCATGAGTGGCCTCGATCTCGAGCGCCTTGTTCTGTCGGGCGGCCCCCTTGGTCTCATGCAGGCAGCCATGGACATTACCCTCGATTACGTGCACACCCGCGAGCAGTTTGGTCAGCGCATTGGTGAATTTCAGGTATGGCCGCAACAGTTGCAGCCATGCCGCCATCTCGGTGACCTTGAACAGCGTCACTGCGTGCGCCTTGGGAAGCCCAGTTTGAGAACGTTTGGTTTTGTGGTGGTGGTCGATTCAGGGTCTATGCTCACGCGCGACACGGTTTGCTTTGACTTGCAGTTGATGCAAGGCAAGCTGGCGGACATGTACACTCGCCTGACTGCCAACCGCGCATACGTCTACAGTGTGGCAAAGAAGTGCGACCAGGGTCGCGCCGACCCCAAGGTGCGTTTGCTTGAAAGTCGTCACCTCTGCCAGAGTTGGGGGCCAAGTTTATAACCGTGTTTGGACGGGTTCGCGCGCTCGCTTACGTCTCATTTTCTCTCATATCCATAGGATTGTGCTGGTGTGATTCTCTACTCGGCCGAAGCAGCCACCCAAGTGGCGCTCGATGCCATCCAGTGCCTTGGTGAGTGTGTGAGAGAGAGTGGGCCTGCGTGCGTGCGTGCGTGCTTCACAGTAACCGACACGAATCACTTACAGCCTGGTGAATTGGTTTTCCACTGATCAACAGGCGGCAACGGTTACATCAACGATTACCCCACCGGCCGCATCCTTCGTGATGCCAAGCTTTACGAGATTGGCGCTGGTACCTCCGAGGTCCGCCGCCTCATCATTGGCCGCGCCTTTAACAACATGTACAAGTAAACACACTTTCCCTCCCACGTCATGCTCCACGAATTCAGGCACCACTCTCGCACCGCAGCAGAAGCAATGTTGTGTTTGCCGTGCGACCGTCTCTGAGTCGAGTGGCGCGACAGTCGAATCTAAGCAAATTTTCTTTTCTCTGATTTTCCTTCCATCGCACTCTTTCCATCCGATGTCAATTGCGCAGCAGGCTTTGCTCTCGGCTCGACTCTGCAAGATCGTCAGCTCCCTTCCAAGTGACAGGGTCCTGGCAACACAGATTCGTCAACCTCCAGACAGGAAGATAGATGAATGCAGTCACGGCCAAGTGAACAATGATCTCTTGTTGTACACACACACACACACACACACACACACACACACACACACACACACACACACACACACACACACACACACACACACACACACACACACACACACACACACACAC